ACCAATAGTACCTGTAAATCGTATCAATTTTAACTCCCTTTATAATTAGAAAGGAGTATAGGAACATTGATCTATTACAACCATAGCTTTTTAATAATTGATAAAAATTATAAAACATATACGTTTTTATAATATTCGTTAAATCAAATACAGGGTGAGTCAAAATGAAAGTACATTATTTTCTTGGTAATTTTAAATAGAACACCCTGTATTTTATATCACTATCGAAAAGAACCAATATCGTACTTCAAATTTTATAAAGTACTCCCTATACCTAAAGTTATTAATTTTCTAGATATTTTTATTTTTACATCAAAGTATTAATATGGTAGATATTTTAACGTTTACCAATAATAATTATTGTGAGTTGGCCATGATCAATTTGTCAGAAACTGACAGTTTGACATTATTGTTTATTTAGTAATTCAGTAATTAATTTAAATTAACTTAGCAATAATGAATTTTACTACTGATGAAATGATAGATATTATCTAGATATTGGGGGAATGCAATAAAAATTCATTACTATCAGCAAGAATTTGTCAAGAACGGTTTCCAGATAGGCAGCAAGCCTATCTGGAAACCTTTTACGGATAGAAACAATTAATGAGCAGAGAGATTTTTTTGAGTATGTCATATTTAGTGATGAAGCTACATTCCATCGAAACGGTTCTGTTAATAGGCATAACCTTCACTACTATTCAACAAGTAATCCATACCACATAATAACACATAGTCAAACAAGATGGTCTCTAAATGTGTGGGGAGATATCGTCGGTAACCATGTACTAGGACCATATTTTTTTGAAGATAACTTAAATGGTGAGATTTATTTAGATTTTATCGTAAATCAGTTACCGATATTATTAGAAGAGGTTCCACTTAATATACGTGAACACATGTGGTTTCTACATGACGGTGCTCCTGCGCACCACAACGAATTAGTAGGTGGTGAACTTAATAATCAGTTTGGTGAATGATAGATCGGAAGAGATGGACCGGTAAGGTGGCCCCCAAGGTCACCAGAATTCAATAAAATGGACTTAATTTTAGGGGTTACGTTAAGAACGAAGTATATAAAATACCTCCAAAAATAATGATGATATGAAAAATAGAATCCGAATTGCATTTCAAAATATTTGTTTACAAATGCTTAGTAATGTAAGCAAATCTTTCAATGACCGCCTTCAAGTATACATAGATGTTTTGGGAGATCATTTTGAACACTTTTCTTAAGTAAGGTAAGCTAAAACTACTGTTGTTTTTTATTTTTCTGTTATTTTTTTTTATTTTATTTGAAATTAATCGATTTCTATTCTGTGTCGTTATTTCTTTACTTAATTAATAAAAAATAATGTCAAACTGTCAGTTTCTGGCAAATTAATCATGGCCAACCCACAATACACATTATCTATCTGGTAAATGTTAAAATATCTACCAAATTAATACTTTGATGGAAAAATAAAAATATCTAGACAACTGATAACTTTAGATATAGGGAATACTTAATAAAATTTGAGGTACGATATTAGTACTTTTCGATAGTGATATAAAATACAGGGTGTTATATTTAAAAAAACATAAGTTTTATCTGCCACCATCTTATGGAACACCCTGTAAGATTGTAACTAATTTTAAAATGTAGAGTTTAAAGCTGCCTACAATTTTTGTCAAGACCTTTTTTTGTAATTTTTACTATAACAGATCTACTGAGCTTCCTCACACTAATCAATCACCCTGTATATATATATATATATTATATAGATCAATGTCTGTGTTTTTATGAACGTTATGTTAAAGCAGTATGTGCTTTTAAGCTTCAACTTGTACTTTTAGTTTTCATTATAAAAGAAAGGAAGTTTGTCAATAGTTTTTGTCAACTTTGATAAATTGCTTTTCTTTATAGAGCAGAATAGTGTATAGGCAATAAACTACAAATATAAAACTATTTAGTGTCGAATTTTTGCATATCTATGTGTTACGAATATAATAGTGTCGTTGTTAGCACAATTGATGTTAAATACCAGCAGAAATATATCTACACTATACGAAATAGACACTAAAGCGTTATGAAAATGATTTTTACGCCACTGTGCGATCGAGAGTCACAACACGACTACTGAATATTCCATTAGTTGGCTCCGTCACATACTGGCGTAGAAAGTAACATTATTTAACCCTTTCATTCTAAGATATGAAAACTTTGTGACACCTTTTTTATATGTTTTCTTAATGCGGTGTTTTTTACCATTAATTTAAACCATATTACACCTTTCCTTGTCATTGGTGAACTCAGACATGGTGTACATAGTAACCACGGAAAAAGTTAAACATAAAAAAGATCAAAAAAATATTCATCAAGTTTGCATAAAATTATTTATTATGAAAATGAAAACAGTTTTTGTTTCTATTAACAAAGGGATACATTACATTTTATGCTTTTTATGTACGGGCGAGATTTACAGTTTGCTTCTTTGCTCCTTCTTATTTTCTCACTAAATATGGGGAAATGGCCTTAATTATTAAAACAAACATCAACCTGTGGTCTAAGTTGTTTTTGGAGAAATTAGAGCATCACTGAGAGAACTCGCTGGATTCGAAGATGTCGTCGGTCTTCCTCTTTCCTTTGGAGACAATTTGCTCCATAATATAAGGGTTTTAATCAAGTTTTGTCGAAAGTTTGTTAGATCTAGAACGTGTTTTCTGGGCACACCAAGATTTTCACCAATTTTTCTGTATTATAGCCATGAGTTGAGTACTACTATATCTAGAGCATGTGAAATAAGACGGACTGTCCATTTTTTGACCTAATAAGCGTTCTGTAAAGTGAGATCAGAAAATCACACTTATTGACTTCTCTCATGCCATTATTATAGAACGAAATTACTTTTGAATGTAGCACTTTTATATATCGTTTAGTTTTTTATTTCATCTTTGACATATATCATCTGGAACAAAAATAAAATTGAAACCAAGGGCTACGACACTACTACTTACCAATTTAGTCAAAACAATACCAGAATTTCTACAAATAACATTTTCAATAAAGCCTCTTTCTAACTTTTCATTATTTTTCTAGCGCTCCAAGAGCGATGGTTTGGAAAAGCAGTCTTTTCGAATTGTTCCAGCTGCATAATTTTTTTTTTGATGGCCACTGAAATAGCCAGTAAGAACTGAAGTAATTGTCAAAGAAAAGTTTAAAATGTAATGGCATCTTTACTGACAACTACATAACAACAGCAGGTCCTTGACCAAACAACATGTATTTAGTTTTCAATTCCGTGGAAGCTTCCTGATAAATTATAAAGTCATAAAATAGTTCCAGATACTCCACTAAAAGTACCATTTATCAAATGTTTTTCAAATATATATTCTAGATCGCATCGATATTGCATATTAACAGCATTCATGACTGTCAAGTTTCACATCACCGTAGCTATTCTTTCGATAGTATTTCGGACTTGATCTTTTTGTACAAAAATTATTACCTGAAGTATGGTACATTCTGGAATTACACTTTCATTACCGAATTAAAGTTTTTATCCGTAAGTTTGCACATTGATTAGAAAAAAGCCTCAAGAATTCGGTCTTATAGTTCTTACCTGACTTAATTCTACCACTGCAAAGCTCTTCTTTTTGCTGATCAGGCCTATTGGTCTTTTCATTTAATGACTTTTAATGACAAGAGACTAATGATAGCCTCAGGCTATCTGAATTTGGTGTGCTAAATATTTGAAAGTATCTACTTATAGTATGGTATTATTGTTACTAAAAGTTATATTTTAAGATACAACATTGCACAGAAATTTTGTTTTTTTTTTAATAATCTTTAATCCAGAGTTTTCTGGCACAAGTTTTATATTGGTACTACTTATATAGTATGTTAACGTCAAATTTTAAATAGGTACCTAAGCTGTTTTCGGCAATCTTCTGGAAAAGTTTTAATGACATTTTTATGTATCAGTATTTTTCCAGCAGCTATCATTTGTTTCAAAAAGTTTTAGGACAATTTACATCTGATCTATAGAAACTAAGGTATTTGTATGTCTGCTGGTATAGCTATAAATCTGTGAACAGTTTTTCTTTATTCCTAATAAAAAGACATGTATATAAAGATGTACTTATATTAGAATTATAAAATTGTGATTGTTATAAATATTTCAGTGGAAATATTTGAAAATAAGTCATATAAATAAATATGTTGCATAAACGTTCATCTTTTTCTTTCTATCTGTAAGCTGAAGACCTTGAGATAAAATCAATCAACCATGGGCAAACCATGGTTAAATCAGTTCTTTGTTATGGTTCTGAAGTATGGACAATTAATGTAGACCTGAAGAGAAGATTATTGGCAGTTGAAATGGATTATTTGAAAAGAAGTGCTAGAACATCAAGGCTGGAAAGGAAGACCAACGAATCTATAAGAAATAACATGAATGCTGCAAAAGCGGTCATTGACAAAATAGAAAGAAGAGTTTTGAAATGTAAGAAATAGAAACACCTAAAGGAAGAAGAAACAGTAGCCGACAGCGAATTAGGTGGTTAGATTGAGTTGGGATGACTAGAGGTCAGAAAATGACAACACATTGCCACAAAATAAACAAAATGGCGACTACTTCTACTATTACTGGAGCAGACCAGGATACACAGAGGATTGTCGAGCCAAAGAAGATGATATGATGAAATTTCACTTAAATCAGTGTCGATTTGTCAGTTTGACAGCCAATAAAGAAAAAGTAAAAGGAAAGCAATATTTTTAAAATAAATAGTAAATATAGTTTAAAAAGATCTTTAATATACGGAAATAATTGTATGATATTATATCTTCTTCTTCAAGTGCAATCATTGTAGCTATTCGGACTTTTGAGACAGCTGCTCTGAAAGGTTCATTTAATGTACCTACATCCGTAACACTCTCTCAGGTTAAGCAGCCATGACATTTTACGCCTCCCTATGCTTCTCTTTCCTTGGATCTTTCTTTTTAAAATAAATACTAAATATAGTTTTAAAAGGTCTTTAATATACGGAAATAATGATATTATATACATTCTGTTATTTACTAATCCCATCTATCCCGCGGTTGGAAAGCACAATGGAACTATGGTGGACGGGTATGATCTACCGTAACAGCTTTGAGTCCAGCCATCCCAGTACCGGAAACCTAACTCAGCTTGGATTTTTTTTGCACATGTAGCGTCCTTGGTAATTTCATCATCAAGGAAATCTAAAATATAACTGATTATACCTTTGAAAAATTTTATTAAATTTTATTACTTAAAACGGATTAGAACCTTCTCGTTATTTTATAGTTTAAAATTATATCAGCTACATTTTTTATTTGAAACATTTTTTTCTACGATGTACAGATTTTTGGTAAACTGATTTTTTTACATTTTACCCCCTTTCGAGGGGGGTTTTAGGTGGAAACCTCTAGGTAAAAGTGGTAAACTTTTTTACATCTCTTTTGGAGTCCCAAAATTAATATGCTCGGCAAAATTCAGCTTGATCGTATTATTTTTAGAGGTTCAGTGGCATTTTCGTCTCTGGCGACTGGATTATCAGCTCAGATTAATATTTAAAATTGTTGATGTTGGCATAGTAACTTTAAAACACGCGCGTTTTTGAAAGTTTTGTGAGTTTATACACGCTACGCCGTACTTCAAATAAGCAAAATTGGGTTCCAATAAAAAAAATTTAAACAGCATTTTTACCTTCGCATTTAGCATTACATTTTCCTCCCGCTTTTCCAAATGTGCACCAATCCTTACTATTTATCTAAAAATGAAATATTGGTATTAGTTTTATTAAATTAAATAAATTATAAAATAATACGTCAGTTGTGTGATAAATTAAAAGAATGAATAAGTTTCTATAATGATTAATTTTTAATCAGTTTAATTTTTGACGGTTATGATTGCCACTTTACTTCTCCAGTTTTTGTGGGTCTAGGGGTCTAAAAATTGTGTTTGATATTTTTTGATGTGGAACAACATGTATTTTTATTTTTGAAATCTTGTGGGGGAATTTTACAATCAACCGGCTAGACCGAAAATGATTCTTCGTAATTTTGGCCATGTCTCTCCTATAAAAATCTGAAAAAAATCATGCATATAATTTTTTTTAAGCGAATTTTAAAAATGTCGAAGGCGATCAAAGATTTGAATTTTCCCTCAAAAATTTTTTAAAAAAATATAACGATGTAGGCAATAAAATATCCTACAAACTGACAAAAAGAATGATTATAACCGAAGATATCATTAAAAAACAAAAAACATGATTCAATTTTTTTTGGGTTATGTTTGGATCTCTGGGCACACTTTGGTGTGCCGAGAAACTACCGGTATGCCCATAAAGAGAAAAGCGAAGTAAGAAAAGCCATCTGGCATACATACTGGGTTATAAAATTTTCAACTAAATATTTAATTAACCCATTTCCGCATACTGTCCCATATTTGGCACTAAGTAACACCATCATGGTTCGTACATAAGTTGTATTGACTACATAACCAAAAATTGAATAATCAATTCATTCTGTTTGAACCATGGACGTATAAACATAGATGGACACAGCAATAAGATACCTTTAACAAACAATGTTTTGAAGCTTCGATAGAATGTGATGCTTCCGCAATGAGCATAAGCGTGCTTGAATTTTACTCGCGGGTAATTATTCAGATTTTAAAAATTGAAAGTAGTATTAATGTATAAAACACGTTCAAAGAATTTTAAATAAACGAGAGTATTAACTGTTAACAAATCACGTCTTTATAGAAAAATTAAAATACAATTTTATTTGCTTTAAAATTAATACAATAAAATATAGTTGAATTCAAGGTAATTTTTAATAGGTATCAAAATAATGCTACAATAAAAAATCTTTATGTTGTTCTCCTAAATTTGTTACCAAAATAGTTCGATCGTCAATATTATTTGGAAACTACATAGAAAAATAATTGAGTTTTATTCATTTCACTAATTTATTTAGACATTCATGAGAAATATTAAATTAAAAAGGTACTAAACAGATCTTTTTAATCAGATGATGTCTACCTACAATTTAAAAATGTTTACTAATTTCATGAACTTATATCTTATTCAATACATTAATGAACATGAATAAACCCAATGGTACGCCAATTAAAATGTAAACAAACACGCTTCCTCATTTCCTCATCTTAAATAATGTAAATTGTATGTACTTACAAATGAAATGAGAGATCGGGATGTAAATATTTCGTTTATTTTATTTCACTTTTCACAAATATTCACTCAAAATACAGCCAAAATATCGAAAAACAACTTTCCTATCTACTGTAAAAAGTAAACAAACATGGAACAGCATTTGAAGTTTGACGTAGATCCATAAGACAGAGAAATGTAAACAACCGTTGCCATTTATAAATAGTTTTCAGTGCTTCTACATATAAAATAATTGATTGATATCTATTATACGCTATTATTAAATGATAATGCACACTATGTGCACACTTTATATTTTGATTACAATTAAATATATTAATCTAACCAATAAATTATTATTTTGGTTTGATAGCACCTGTAGAGTATAAAATACGGAGTAATATTTTCAGCGACTCGCGAATAAGAAATTTTAAAACAAAACGTGACAACAGTTGAAGGTGCTGAGAATGTGACCCATTCAAATAATTTTGACTACACAATTTTATGTAAATAACTGAGTCCATCTGTGTTTATACGTCCATGGTTTGAACATTGCGATAAGCCAAACGAAATTCGCTGAAATGTACAGTTATGCTACCACCGCATTTGTTTATGTAAACAATTTTTTACGCACAACTCGCAATTTAATCACAATTTAATCAATGATAAATAAGAGCGGTGCTTTCAGAGTTATATTTTTAGAATCAATGCCGAAATAGAGCCGAAAACAAAAACGCACAGCATAATAACAGTCAATATGTGTAATTGTGTCACCATAATTAAGTTGAATTCGAACATTAATTGTGTCAAGTAGTCGTTTGATTTATTAAGTTTTGAAAAATGGAGCCTTCCACATCTGCAACTTAAAAAAGAAAACGTGTTGTTTTATCAATTGAAAAAAAAATAAAAATTATTTCAGAACTAGAGAAAGGTGTTTCTGCAGTCGCATTGAGCAAAAATGATGTTTCGAGAACAATTATCAACGATTTAAAGAAAAATGCTGAAGAAATTAAAAAGTTGAGGATAGGTTGCTGGCCTCTAGACGGCATAAGAACCAACCAAAATATTTTGGACGAACTGAGATATGAAACGGATGTTGTAGCAAGACAGGTTAAAAGTTCTTGGCTATGACATCTAAAGGAACCATAACACAGAATGATCAGGAGGCACAGGCACAGCAATCAATCTCTTGACGTCAGAGGCGTACGAAAATTTTTGGGAGAGTCACTACCATACCACGTCACCTAGGGATCGATCGAGCATAGTTAGAGTCCCACCAAAGCTCAATCCTTTTGATATCGTAGGTATCTAGGAGTCACTTTTCTTCTTAGAGAGAATAGCTTAAATTTGATAAATATGTAATTAAAATATATATCGAAAATGAAACCACTTTACGGTCTATTTTCAAATTCTATTTGCAAACGTAACAAAAATTGTTTTTATTTTAATAAAATAAATGAAATACCTACTTGAAATAATCCTAATGCTTTCCCTCCGTTAGCTTTAGCTTTCTGTTTCGATGTGTCTCTTCCACTTTCACTTTCTATCATGCAAACCCCTAAAACAAATATATTCTATTAATATTTAAAAAAAAATTTAATGATTCAAAATGAGAAAATCGATTCATTGTTGTTAAAAATACACTGATTTGCACATTGTTTACTAATCTATTTTTTTTCTGTACCGTTTGTACTTTTGATTGGTTTTGATATACAGAAGATGTTGTATCACCCTAAACACCCAAACTTTTATTCTGCTAAAAGCTTGGCAACAAAGCAACATAAGAAACTGACGAAAAAATTGAATTTGAGTAACTTCTTAACAAATATCGAGATATTTCATGCTGTATGTACTGCACGTTACAGTACTCTCGCAGATACTTAATTTTAAGAGACAACTCACACTGCGACTTTTGATATTTAGAGTGCTTACTTTACTTGATAGTTGCTTAGTGATTAGAGCAGCTCACTCAGTCTGATTCCTTCCAGAAAGATTAGTATATCTAGTTGCTTTCTGTTAAATAAATCCTCTTTTGTTTATAGTATCTGAAGTAAAATTTAAAAGTAAAATGTACAGATTTACTCAATAACCTCACACAATCTGCATTCTGTCATATCTACTATCTTTTATGTTTACAGGAACGTTTTAGTTGATAATAGACAATATTTCTGTTGAAATATGTAATCATCTTTTTGTTTGAACTAATGAAGAAAATGTTATCCTTTCCAACACAAATGAGAAGAGACAGAACAAAAAAAATGAAAGAATACGATATTTTCATGTCCAATGATATGTCTGTTGTAATCCAATCCACCGACCAGTATACTGCCTGCAAAGGTATTCCCGGACTTCATTACTGTAATGCGGTGGAGCGCCATCATTGCAATATTCACTTCTTCCAAATACTCTTGTAACTCGTTTGCCAAGAACTGCAAATAATTATCACTATTTAAATTGTTGGGAAGAAATACTGGCCTACTAGATTGTCATCCACAATTCCTGCCCAAACATTAACATTGAAAGTCCTTTGGTGATGATTCGTTTTTTTTGGCGTGAGGATTTCTGTCGGCCCAAATGTGTTCGTTATGATGATTTGTTATTACATTTTTACTAAGGTAGCCTTGTCGGTAAATAAAATATTTCTAATAACATTAACATTTCGAGTGTTTTCCATTCACAACCAATCGCAAAATCCAATCGTTTTAGATAATCTTCAACCAATAACTCTTGAACCGTTGTTAAGTGATAGAGTTTAAGCAGCTGATCCTTCAAGCTGCCTACAAACCCTTATGTGAGAAACCTTTAGTTGAGCAGCTAATACCCTTGTAGTTGTTCCAGGGACTTCTTTCAATAATTTCTAAAATGTCTTCAACATTGGACGACCACTATTGCCAACAACTTGCGGTTGGAATGTACCCGTTTCCCGTAAACGACGATCTATGGTCAGAAATAATCGTCTATCGGGTGTATTTCGATTGCTGCACTATTTCCTTGACATTCAACTACGATATTCCCGATAGTTTATTGAAATCATAATTTAATCTGATCCAACTTACCCAAAAGTTAAATGATATCTGCCATTTCCTGAAATGTGTAGGCGATTGTATACCAAAATTTTTAATATTTTATCTTATTTACACAATAAATGATAGCTTCAAATTATTGACTGTTATTAATGGAACTGTTTGTAATTATTGTATCCGTAGAAACTAATTTTAGTTTTATGGCCAACTAGGAAAACACTAGTTTTTCTAAAAAGTGATAGGAGGCAAAAATGTTTTAAAAATAATGTATTAAACTAATGATGCCACAAAATTGATTTGATTTGAACGTACTCAAAAGTTGGGGGGGCTCTAGAGCTGCACACCCCCTTAATATTTTTCTGTGCGCTTAGATTTTGTTGTTTTTTTTTTTTGTATGAAAATGCTTTCAAAACAAGAAAGTAACGTATCCATTTTTATTACAAAATATCAAGTAATTTAGGAGAGAATGCAAAAACAAACCTTTATTTTGTAACTTCAAAGGCTGTGACTTTTTTTATGTACACTTTTGTACTAAGGTAAGTTGGATTCAGTCAATTTATTTTGTCCCCGAAATGCGTGATTTAATATATGACATACCTTTTTGAAACACCCTGCATAGTGTGCACAAAATGAAAAATACCGTTGTGTATTGTACCTCGGAAACCTTTTTTGGATGGTGCTAGAAAGGTCACCAATGGAGACACTGCGAACGGCAGCCAGATGGTTGGTGGAGAGCGAATCGTGGGTTCGAAACTAGCTTTTGTGAACCGGTAATGGGTCCAACGACGAAATAAGTAAAGATAGAACAAGATAAGATATATTAGAATAGATACAGAAATAAGAAAAAAGATGGATGGGTAAAATTACCAAAGATAAGATAAGATAGAAACAGTGGCGCCATTCAATTTTTTTGAGGTTTAAGGAAAAATGAAGAAACCTTAGAAAAGAAAAGAGATAAGGAAAATTTTGGTTTAGAGACCAAACCCAAGAAAAGATACCAACAGTTAATTATTAAATAAATTTGGTCAACACATTATATAACAAATAATAAATATATTAGGTATTACACTTACTTACCTACGAAACTTAATCAGCCTGATCTTTCTACTGGTCAAAAGTATAGTTATATTTAAAGGTAAAAAGCACAATATTCAGAGTTACTATTTATATCAGGGAACTTGTTAGGAGCCGACAAATAAAATACATATATAAAACAATAACAATATATTAACAACAAAATTATGACGCTGCTGAATGCAACACAAGTAATAAAAATACACCAACAACTATGAAATGGTGGTATACATATAAAAATAAGCAGTAATATAATTAGAAAATACCTTTACAAAGATATATCATACGATCATGCACAAATAAAGTTTTGTGGGCGTATCTCGAGATATTACAGTAAAAAAATGAATAAAAATTATAACAAACACAAAAGACAACAAAAATTAACCAAATCTAAATTTACAAAAATACAAAAAGGTTACAGAAATGAAAACATAAAAATTTAACCAAACCGCACTTGGTTTAGTCGATTAATTTGCTGCGCACTATTATTTAATGATAAACTGAGACTTAAATGTTCATAATTATTACTTATTGAAATTTCTTGAATCTATTGAAATGTTCTTTAAATTGAATGCAAAAATCAGCAATCTACAGGTGAAGACATGGATGAACTTTGATTCGCCCAGATGATTGCAGATAATATGATACCATACCATATTATTTGCCCAGATAATTGGAGATACTAAGATTATGGTAACTTACAGTAATTCCTGATGACTGCTGCCTAATTCACTGAAGTTAATACTATACTTGTATTAAACACTGAATTTAATTAACATTAAAGGTACTTTATTACTATATATAATCTAATATAGTATAAGATCAAAAAGACTCAAATAAACCAAGTGTATACACACTTAGAAAACAATTCACAGAAGGTAAGATAACAGATATACAGTAAGATATACAGTAAGATCTAGTCCTTACACACACACTGTCCCACCAGAAGTAAGTTGGTTCCTCTAAAATTTTACCAAACTTAAATAAAAAAAAGAAGGGATATCTCCCACTAAAAAATCATAGACCAGCCTGTACCTATTTCTAAGAAGATATGGTCTTAACGACTATCGGAAAGTTCGGGTAAATAACGGTACCAACAATTGGACATGAGAAAATTAAAATCCTTTTGGATTAGGTTATTATAGAAAGATTACTATTCGGGCCTTCGGAATATTTACAAATCGATCATAAAGAACCCGCCTTCACCGAAAAGCATTAGTTCCTTTTATACTTAGGATTAAGACAGAACGGATTAAAAACCTTTCCGACTCAGGGAAATTCTATGCTAGTTTGGTAGGTAGATTCTTTCGTCATGTTTCGCTAGTTTTCAATAATATTTTCTAATCGTAAACACGATCATCGGCGTATCATCCACATGGGTAAAAAGAATTAAAAATAATTTAATATATTAATTAAAAAAAAATGTCACAGTATTAATAAAGAAAGAAACTGTTATTTGCAGTTTCATACTGTATAGTACAGTATAGTATACTGTAAGAAACTGTTATTTGCAGTTTCATATTGTGTAGTGTATACTGTAGCTTCAAATAGTTTGACTTTAATATTACATTGTTGCATGATGATCCATATCTGACACCAAAAATTTTTTTGTCAATAAAGTATTTCTCGTAGCTAGTTTTTTTTCAATATTTTTACGTAAAAATAAAATTAAAATTCTTAGGGCCGGTTTCACCAACGACAAATAGCAGTCTATTCAATGAATAAAGTTATTCGACCAATAAAACTGACATATATGCGTTTCACCAACGTCAAATAAGACTTATTCTATGAATAAACTCCAAATAAGTTATTAGTCCAATATCGGCCAAATAAATATTTATTCTACGAATAAATTGACAGCTAACCTCACTTTAAATATCAATAATAAGGAAAATTCATTAGTTTAACTAGAAATTATCTACAATGTATTGCAGGTAAACGTAATTATATCAGACAATTTAATTTTGTATACATATATATTTATTTTCGAATATTATCTTCATCATCATCATCCTCTGATGACGGAAATGAGCGGCGAAGGAGAAGACCACGCTGCTGGCAGCTGCAAAGAAGAAACCCTTTTGCTGAATTTGATGATGTGGACTTTAAAACTAGGTTTAGATTATCAAAAAATTCAGTAGATCATTTATTAAATTTGATCGGTAACCAATTGCATCCTGTAAGCAACAAAAATAGACCCATATATGTGCGAAATCAATTGTTAATTGCTCTTCGTTTTTATGCAACAGGATCGTTTTAAATATGTATTGGCCATTGGCATTGACAATTATTATTATTTTGACAAATTAATCAACCAATATCAAATTTATAGGTTATGTATATGATTACAGTGAAAAATAGTGCGATGTGCCTGGCCAAACACCTAAGAGGTGGAGGCCAAAAGAGGTGTCAACGAGTACAGTCTGTGGAAAATCATTACGCTTTGAACTTATTCGACAAATAACTAACTGTGGATTACAAATAGTTATTGAAACGGAATAAAATTTATTCTACTAATAAATTTTATTCAACGATTAACTATTCAGTCATTTATTTGTTGTTGGTGAAACCGCCCTTAGTGAATTTATTTTTGAGAAAAACAAAAATTCATGCGGTAAAGAGTTAACAAAGCATAGATATTTAGTATTCATAGAATACTAAATATTAATGATTTCGCTATAGTGTCACCTAAATTTTGTGATATTTATGTTGTTTATTATAATAGTAAATAAGGAAGATTAATGTGAACTTACAGTTTCCAACCATGGACCGATCGAATCCAATCTTAACCAAATCCTGTGCCAGTCCACATTTGGTATACACTTTGGCATCTACTTGGCAAACAAAATTATTAACTAAAAAACAACCAAGCAGAACAACTAAAATCATTTTCATATTAACAACGATTTTATTCGACTATTATACTCTTACGGAAGATATAGTTGTTTTAAGTGTTTTGAGACAAGATAATGCAAGTGAATATCAATTTGGAAATTACAGACCTTGACATTACTGAACTTAATATAAATACTTTAATAAAACCGTAGCAATTCCGCGTATTGTAAACCAACATATTGAAATTAATATCTTCATCGTAAATATAAATATTCTAAATTTGATACATATGTTTACAAGGGTGTTCAATAAATATCCATATCTTTAAAAATTTTATTGAATCTTGTAATATATTAAATATTGTATGTCAGTAAAACAACTAGAGAAGTTTTGTACATACTTATGAATAAAATACTAATGACAAAACAAATACCCAAGAGTTGGAACGAAGCAATAACACGGTTACTATTTAAGAAAGGAGATAAAAAGGATCTAAAAAATTACAGACCCATAACTTTACTAAATGTGATGTACAAACTATTAAACCAAAATATTAACAAATAGTTTTTAAAAGTGAAACTGGAACAAACCATGAAGTGGAGATATCCTGGAGTGGCTAGTATACCTGTTGAATACAAAGCACGTGGTGTTCGTGTGTATTAAGGTGTGTATTAATACCTTAATCCACACGAACACCACGTGCTCTGCATTAACAAATAGATTAACAACTTAATTAGATGAGCAAGAGAAACAAGCCGGATTTAGAAAGAGCTTCAGTACAAGTGACCACCTTTAACGATGAATATTTTAATCGAAAAAAAACTAACGAATATCATATCCCGCTATACAAAACAGCAGAATAGACTACCGATATACCGACTTAATTACAAATATATACAACAAGGCAACAACAACTATTAAGCTAATGAAACAAACGGAGCCTATTAAAATAAACCGAGGAGTAAGAGAAGGAGATACCATCTCGTCCAAGCTATTCAACCAAGCGCTAGAAGATGTTTTCAAACGACTACACTGGGATGGCTTGGGAATTAACATAAACAGGCAAAATCTGAACCATTTACGATATGCTGATGATATTGTATTAATAACAGAAAAAAGTGAAGATTTACAAAGAATGATGGAAGAAAGAGATAGAGAATCGACAAAAATTGGACTCAAGATGAATTACAGTAAAACAAAAACCATGACTAATCAATCAGAAGAACTAACACTAACAGTTGCACCAACAAGAATAGAACAAGTAAAACAGTATATATATCTAGGCCAAATCACTAAATTAAATAAAGAAAATGAGACCGAAGAAATAAAAAGAAGAATAAGATTGGCCTGGGCATCATTCGGAAAACTGTCTTATATTCTAAAGAATTCAAAATACCCCCAATACCTAAAAACGACAGTCTTCGATCAATGTATACTCCCTGGTCTCACATATGGCTCTCGGACATGGACGTTTACAAAGGAAAATATGGAAAAAATAGCAAAGACAGAAAGATCCATGGAAAGACAAATGCTGAACATTAAGACAGAAACAAGAAACGAATGGATCCGTAATAAAACAAAAGTGAAAGATGTCTCAACCCAAGTAGCAAAGCTTAAATGGTAAGTTCGCCGGACACACCCTAAGGCAGAAAGATGAAAGATGGACTAAGACAATTATACATTGGAGGCCATGGAATCACAAACGAAAAAGGGAAGGCCACAAATGCGATGGTCAGATGACCTGAAGAAACACGCCGGTCAAAATGGATGGAAATTGCCCAAGATAGAGAGGCATGGAAGAAGGAGGAGGAGGCCTATATCCAAGGATGGATGTTTAGGTCTGTGTAGATAGATAGATGTTAGTAAATAAAATTATGCAAAAATACAAATTTCATTATATGCATACTTATTCAATGTTAAAGTAGTACCTAGACAAAATTTCTGAATTTTCTAATTTCATTGATTTTTTTGGTTAATATATACATGGTTCCGGATTTTGTATTTATTTTTTATATAAAAGGGAAGGGGTATCGAACTTATTGGCTAGAGGGTCCTCTATTAAATTTAGAATGTGTAAAAGGACCAGATTCAATAAAATTATTCAATTCAAAATTTACTGAATTATTATAACATTTTATTTATTTTATTATATAGCATATAATATACGTTTACAGTAACGTTACAATCGATAAAGAACTACATTAATTAATATTGGTACAATTATTAATAACAAATTCTAAACTACGTTTTTTCTTCTAAATTTTCTGGTAAAGTCTGGTTTCATAGAGGAAATTTTTAAGGTTTTAGAATTAATCAGAATTAGTTTATGACAAATGTATCTTGCCTGTAACTACATATGGACTGGAGACCATGGCCTTCACAAAGAAAACCTTAGAGCAACTCAGTACAACAAAAAGAGCAATGGAGAGGGCCATGCTAGGATTAGTTTGAGAGACAGGATTCGAAATAACGTCATTCGTGAAAGAACAAAGATTACTGATGTCTCAGAACGTATTGCAAGGCTCAAGTGGCAATAGTCGGACACGTTGCCCGAGATAATCCCGAAAAATGGACACAAAGATTAACAAACTGGAGACCAAGAGAGAACAGGCGAGGAGTAGGCAGACCGCAGAAGAGGTGGACAGACGATATCAAACAAGTCGCGGGCAAGCATTGGATGAGAATTGCCAAAAGTAGAAATCGATGGAAGCAAATGGAAGAGGCCTATGTCAGCAGTGGACGAACACAGGCTGAAGAAGAAGAAAAAACAGAAGAATTAATCTAGTGAGCTGAGAACATTTTGTGGGTTTCGACTCAAAAGATTATTTTTTCTGTTGTTGTTGAAATTTGGACAGTCTACGAGAATGTGTTTAGCAGGCAGAATATTACCACAGTAGGTACATGTAGGTCGATCTTGGCAGTGACGGCGCAAGATTATTTTTGCGAGGCCCTTTATTCGCGCATAAAGACAGATTTTTTAAAAGTCATTTCACTATTAATCTTTTATTCATGCAAAATCTAGTTAACCTTACAACTAACCTAAAAATTTAATTTAAATATTACAGGAATAGAAATTTTTTTACTTTTTATACTGTTGAATTGTTTAATTACGTGCTCGTAATATAGCTTGGATGCTGTATTAGCCTCAATAAACAAAATTGCAACTGCAGAAAGTCTTTCCTGTGACATCGTTCCCCTTAAGTAATTCTTAATGAGTTTTAATTTGAGAAGCTCCTTTCAGCGGAGGCTGTACTAAATGGTATTGTTAATAATATTCTAATGACGATGTAAATGTTTGGGTATATTTCTCTAAGTTAATATCTCTAATGTAATGATGCAAGTTTTTCACGGCTGTTATAAATTTAGTTAAATTAGCGATTATTATTTGTATTCCAGCTATGACAACCGCAAGATGTGAAAAATGCCCTAGGATTTATATTTAATATTCGAATTTTGACTCCACTATTTATACCTACCATATTTGCGCCATTCTCGTGTCCTTAGATCCAGTGTTTTAACCTTGTTTAGGTTTTAAGCCTCTTCAAGGAAGGAGTACTTCTTTTTTTTTGGAGTAATGGAGCTGTGACAAAACGTGATGATTGATGTTATATGTGGAGAATTAGTGGACCAATAAGAAGCGGGGGTTCAGAAGGTGGCGTATATGTGGACGATGTTATTAGCTGCGATATTTATTGGGGAATGTTACTAGAATATCAAAATACTCATCAGCGCATCCTTGGCCACGGCAGTTTTAAATATCTAAGCCATTTTTTTCTAGTTTGCCTAGTATGGCATTACTTAAATACTCTTCTGTTACTGTACACTTATAGCAAGAGATCAAATTAAGTGTTCTTATATTGTGCCCGTTGATATATTACAAAATTTTAAGATGACAGACATTTTGTTCTACTCTACTACAATCTTTAGTGTAGTCAAGCAAAAAAGAATAATATTTTGGTCAATTCATTTTGTATATTATGACTTAAATAATGATGCGTAAGTGGTTTGTCAGTAATACGTCTTATATGTTCTGGTAAAGTAGGATCATATTTTGACATAAATTATAGTTATCCATTGAACTATAAATACCATACGTTTTTTATTATTTTCATGTCTTTGTAAAATACTGCTTAAATGTTTCCAGTCACAGCATCCTCCCTGTACCATAGGAGTTTGTGAATTGCTAAAAAGTCTGCACGGAAACCAGAATACTCCATTTTGAGAACTAGAATGAACTAACCAGCGATGATGTTGCATTTCACTATTTTCTAGAGAAATGAAAATTAGTGCCCACGGTCGTTGTCTTTGTGATAATCTTCATCACCAATATTTAATTGTTATGAGGGGCCGTTCTGAACTATATTATGACGCTGAACATCTAATATGCGCATCGACCCTATACCTGATTAAAATTATCAAATATTTGTATAATTTCGTCACTCGCATCGCTGCTAGTTGTTGGATATCAAATTTTAATTTGTTTTTTCGTGATCTAGGATATTGCTTCGGAAAACACAGGAATTTCATCGTCGGAATCTGATTTTTTAGATATTGATTTTGTATCAGGTTCAGACTGTCGTTCGGAATTAGTATTAAGTGGTTCTGCATCAGTACTTTCCAAATCGTAGGAATCTCAATCGTGACTAAATGTTTTTTGAAGTCGACACTATCGATTCAGATGGTTCTGTACTACCAGATGCAGTTGAATTAAGAAACTGCATCATACCTGTACTTAACGCATGGTTTTGCTGATCCGGATGATCCTTATCATAATTAGTTAAAGAGAGGTTCAAATCTGCTTTCAATTTATTTCAGAGAGGTTTATGTGATATTAATATTGAAGATGTGGCTGAAAAATCAATGTTATTTAGATGTAATGAGAGATACTGTGGCATATATTAAAGTTAATGGGAAAAGAGAGGCCAGACGAATATTTTAAAAAGAATTGCCGGCGACGTAGACAGAGGAAAAGTTCATTAGCTTCTCTGTATAAACTCTCTGCGGGATCGACCTGAAGGTTCCAAGGCAGAGTCGAAGTGCAGTTATATGTTTCTAGAAAAACATTGACCACCCACCTCCAGAGGAGATTCAACCGCGACCCAAGGCACAACAGGATCCGCCACTCACACCCACGACCAGGAATCAACGACCTGGGACAAATAAAAAGAGAAAAGAAAATATTTAGTTGTCAACAGAAATATGGACCTCTGTACGTGATCACTTTAAAGCCCCTAAAGCACAAGTCGACTGCTGTGAGCTGTTAGGTAAAACAGTCACTGTAAAAATGAGAGGAATCAAAGATAGGCGTCTGCACCTCATATATGAAAAACGAATTAATGACATTTTATTTAAAATAGAAATAAGTGCTTTTAACACGTCAAACTCAACTTTGAATTATTTACACCAGAGCAAGAAGTCTACACAGTTACACTTTTAAAGACAGTACAGGTGCATCAGGCTCAACAGCAAATCATTTTTCAAATATTGCACTTGACAATTTATAATTCTGTAGGAAAAAATCTGCACTTACCAAGTCGTTTTTTCTATTCCTTAATTAGACCCAAGGGTCCTTTTTTGAAGGTTAAAAAAATAAAAATAGAATAAATTTTGACTTTTTATTTAACACCATAATTTACATACCTTTATGTCTTCCTGTAGAACTATGTAGAGAGCCACACAATTTTAAGACATTCGTATGATTGCCCGTTGCCAAATATCTTAAAGTGGCTGTCAACTTTTCGTGTGGGAATATGGCTTCTCTCACAACTGTGTCTTTTTTCTTAATCAAGGGAGATACTAGTTCAAGTAAGTCCTTGTACACAGACTCACTCATGTAAAGATAATCAGACGGTTCATCTGTTAATTCTTTAAGGGAGAAATGTGTGTAAATTTATTTCTTCTCTGCAGCCACTTTTACACCATTGTTTGCGATTTGTTGTTCCTGTTCTTCTTGTGTTCTCGTTTTTTGAAAACCACAAAAAATAACGTGAGAAATAAACAATTTCTGCAGGATCCATGATGAACTGAGAAGAAAAGATGAGCATATGTATAAACGCGTGTGAGCTCTGCTCTCTGCATGCATGCATGTACGTCTGTGGCTGGCTTATGTTAGATACACTCCGTTGACTAATAATTTCCCTTATATATTTTTTTCCATTATATTTATATTATATTTTTTTAGTGGTACGCGAAGTACATGCAGAGTATGCGTTAAAAAGTTCCCACTAGTAATAAATGCTTAGTTAGGTACATAAAAATTATAATTAAATCAAACACATATGGGCTGTCAGTTTCTTTATTTAATAATAACAATAACAAAAATTCTGAAAGATAAGCTTATAAAAGACCTAATTTCTTCAATGATTGTTCCATATCGTCGATTTGTGCCTGGGTTAGATTTACAAGTGGTGGTCTACTTTGGCCAACGTTGATAGGTGTCAAAAGATTCATCGCTACCTTCATGGTAGGTACCCAAGCACCTAAAATAAAAAAGACAACAATTTATTATAAGTGTGATTATTTTTCATAAATATTAAACATTTTTTAATAACAAAGTTATGTGATACACAGTCCATTGGGCTGGAATATCTTTTACTATTTTGTTACATTTTTTAAACATTTTATAATAGGACATTATTCCATATTTGTCAATTTTCATTCATACAGTTAATATTGTAAGTTTATTAAGAAATTATGTCAACATTTAGAAAAATTATTTTCTGTGCATTTTTGTTTTAAATTGCATCCAAAATTATTCGATTTTGTCATATTGTGGAATTTATTGATAAAATTATCTCTATCTTATTTATTTTAATGTGCTGAGTCCGAAAATTGTATTAAAAATGTTATGTCATCCACCATTCTTTTACAATTTCACAAACATTTAAAATTGCATAATTACATTTTATTTTGTTTAACGAGCAGAGAAATGATGGTTACTTGGTTGGTAGTACTGTTAATGAATTGTACAACACTCTTCGTTGTTCTTCCTCTTTATTCACAGCTGAATTGTTCCTTTATTCTAAAAAAGATAACCTCACTTTTCAGTGCTTGACTCATACACTTTTAATTATGGCTAGTCACGGTTGTAAAAATTGTCCAAATACATTTTGTTACATATGTGGTGACTTTGTTATGAAAAATCATCAGAAAAACATTACTGCCTTTGTAAAAAAGGTGTATTTTGCATATTTTGGTGTGAAAATTGGTGAGCAAGACGAAGGTTGGGCTCCTCACAATGTATGTTATGTTTCTGTGGATTATTTAAGGAATTGGCCAAAGAAAAAAAATTCTTTTAGATTTGCAGTGCCTATGGTATCGAGAGAGCAAAAAAATCGTTCAAATGATTGTTATATTTGTACTGTCGATGTTTCTGGATAATTTTAAATAACTAAATTTCTGGATGGATTTCAATAAGAAAGTGATTGTTTATCCTAACCTCCCGTCTGCTATCCGTCCGGTAGAGCATGGACCTGAACTGCTAGTCCCAGAGCCTCCTATACGTATTAATGATATTGTAAATACTCATGATACTATGACTTCCAAGATAAAACCACTTCGCATGACAAAACTTCATGCAAAACAGAACATTTCGGTGATATTTCTGGTGATATTTGTCGCCAAGTGACGTCACACGTGCAAAAGACATAGACTGATTCGTAAATTTCAGTGCCTGTAGAAAATTCGCAACCACAGTTGTTTAGACAAGCTGAGTTAGATGACTTAGTAAGAGATTTGGGTTTAACAAAGAAATAATCATTGCTTGGCACAAAATTCAAAGAAAGGATGATGTCATCTGGTACATTTATTTACAAATAAAGGTACAGAGATCAACAGTTTTTTAGGTAGGAAAGAGATTTGGTCTACTGGTATCTTCAGGCTTTTCAGATTTTATTCGACTTGTTCCATATATCTACGTTTGAATTTTGGCTTAAATTTTATTTGGTATTTCAGAGATTTTGGTAAGTCAAATCTTTATATGTAATGATGTTGAGTTCTTTTTATGCTGTGTATAATTAAATTATATCTTCTACGCCATATGTTATTTTTTTTACTTCTCTATGTATACGCTTCAGGATTTTTCGTTTAAATGTAGCTAGTAGCCTCTCATTCCTTTTTGACAATAAGTATGTCCATGATGAATTAAGTAGGGACTTTTCTGTACTTCGCGAAAGACGGACGGGTTGGGGAGTCCTCAACCCCGACACGGCGCGTCCCACTGGCTGATAGGGAAATGTCCTACAGATATGTAGGATAGGTGTGAATAAGGTTTTACCATATAAGCATCCACCGACAAACTGAGGATATGGCATAGCGCAGCAGCTATGACATTACTTAATTAAGGCTATAGCGGAATGATTTCTATTGTTGGCTTAATGATAGATACTCACGGGCGGATATCACATAATGATTCAACCGGCCATGATACTGCGATCAGGCAGGCAAGGGGAAACCACCTGATTAAATTCCCGTGACTACACTATCATGAATATATCAAATCAGTTAGATATGCTTAGCGATCCGATTAGCGATCGGCGCTCAGTTATGAGAATGTTATGAGGATATGAAATATCCTGGATTGATCATCACACTAACGTATCGATATTAGAACAACTTAAAGTAAAGGATAGATTGCTTAAACAAATACAACAGAGATATTTGCAGTATTTTGGACACATTGCTAGAAGAACAGGCATAATGGAAAAACTGATAGTCAAGGGAAGAGTCGAGGAAAGAGACCTAGTGGAAGATCTCCAGCCGTTGGGTAGATCAAACAAAAATATTGATTAACCAAAGGTTACATGAAGCCGAACAACTAGCCCAGGACGAGAATAATGGAGGGAAATCGTGAAAAAACTGTGAAGCCCTGATGGTGTCACCACATCGCAAAAGGGATTATGACTGAGGAAGAGGAGGAGTTCATTATATGTTTTATTCGCAATATATACCGTTTTCTTAAACTCTTTGCAAAATTGTTGTCTACGATGACTAGTCACCTAGGTATGAAAAACTTAGTGTGATTTCAATATTGTAATCTTCTATGGTTAGATTTTGTAAGTCTTCCATTTCTGTTGATTTGCTGACATTCATGTATTTCGTTTTAATTTAATTTTAGTTTGTATTATATTCCTTTTGCTTCTAGTAATGATACCGATGTCATCTGCAAACACTAGTATTTGTACACTTTTTGTTACTACTGTCCCTCTTGTATTGACTTCTGAATCTCTAATTAATTTTATACTGAAAAGAAAATAGTAATAAAGCCAGTTCATTTTAAATATATATAATTTTGATGTCAAATTTGATTTGAGCTTACTGAACTTTAATTACAACTTTAGTTTATTTTTTCGTCTACCGCATTTTTTAAATATATTTTTTATGTATTAGTTATTTTACAAACAAATAACTTACAGAAAGAAAAACACACCATGCATAACATTTATTTGAGGTATAAAACAGTACAAAAGCAATACACAAAAAATTACACTTTAACAAAATATAAAGACACAAGATACATTACAAGAAAACTTAACTCATAAAAGTATTACAGTAAAACAAAAAAAATAAATACAAAATTATTAGTTTATGGTATATCTACAAGTTTTTTACTGGGGTTCCAAAAATTTTTAAAATTCGTTATTTCTTAAGCACCAAAACAGAATTTTCAGTTTTTTATTGACGCTTGTAAAATGAAAGATCTGTTTGTTTCTTTATTTAGCTGTGGAAACACATTTCGACGTCATGTCAGGACATTGATAATTCCGCTATATATAAACTAACTCGGCTAGTTGACACTCGAGAGCATTAAATTTTTCTCCGAAATAAACTTAATCTTAATATTTTTTTAATCTTAAAGAATGTTCAATTTTTTTCACATGCGAAAAATCATGTCGTTTTTTCGCTGTATTACTTACTTTCATTATAGCACAATTTTACAATCATTACCCTACTCCAACCCTTTCTATTCCCACTTTAACCCCCACTCTGATAGAAATACAGACAGCAAATAAAAAAGACACTCTCTTGCTGTTGACTATTGCTAGCTTCAGACGTTCTCTCTCGCCTGCTTAGTTTCGGTAGCAGTAGACGTACTCTCTCTCTTCCCTGTTGACTACCGTTGCAACAGACGTATTCTCTCTACTGTTAACTGCCACTAACAACAGACATTCTCTCCTCTCTCTCTCTCTCTCGTGCTCTCTCTCGTGCTCTATCTCGTGATCTCGGTAAACCGGTATAATTTGCATAACCCTTTACTACATATCCTAATTTATTTTAACCAGTCCTATGTAATACAGTCCTCATACACTGAAATTATATTCATAATTTCATATACGTACACACCTTTTTATACAATGAATCTTAATAAATTCTTTTCGTTGTGTTTACTACCCTCAACGCAATACGTAGAATAAATCGCAGGGAAGAATTCATTTGTAACAATATGATGACTCGATATGTAACTTCTTCCAAAACTAGGCAAATAATCCTATTTGCCAAAACACGTTTTGGCAAATAATCACCGCTTGCTTAGCACCTGTTTGTGCAAAGATTGTTACGCCCCCCGATCTTTTCTGCAAAAATCACTAGGTTGTAACGTGCTTCATCGAGTTTTTGAAAAGTTAATACTTTCAATTATTTTCGTACAGACATGTATTTGAAACAGTCAGGCTAAGGTGATTTTTTTAGATTCACTTTATACCTATTTATCGATATGACGTATTGTTTGCTTGCTAACTTCATAAATTCGTAATAATAATGCGACACGTTCACCCTTTTTACTTCTATTTAAAATCACTAGTTTTGTCCAATCGATAAAACTTTTTTGTGTTTAACACTAGTTATTACCATTTTGGAAGCACTTGTTAAGAATATAGCAGACTAGCGACACTTGTCTAGCAATTAAATCTCACACATTCAGGGTAACACGCAGCGGCAGATAACAAGGGCATGATTTTCAGGAATTCCCTGAGCACTGTTGCTATCGATATTGCATTATAAGTCTCCCTCACGGCGTACAGTGATTTAGATGACGCTATTTAGATAAAACTTTGGTAGGATAAAATGGAAAATCATAGCATGGATAATCTGCAGCATAGGTATTCCGCGCACGGATAATGGGCTTTCTACTGTATAGTTTGTTTAGCAGAAAATGGTTGACTTCAATTAGTTCAGTCGTAAATATTATTAAATTAATCTGACTTGGCCCATTGTTAAGACCTTGTACGTCAGTGAACCATTTTTACGTGAAACCTGGCCTTTTATACTATTATCGTTAACCCAGGATGTTTATAGTCGGTATAATATTATACTAATTGAAGTCAACCATTTACTGCTAAACAAAGTTTACTAGTTAAGGCGACACCTGGTGTTAACGTCCATCTAATTTGTTACCAGTACCAACTTTTGCTTATTTGTGCTATAAAATATAGTTTGAAAGCTATACGTTAGCAAACGCTGCTTATTATTGCATAATTAAAATAATTGTTTAGTAATAAAAACAATGGTCTTAATATTTACGTTTTAATCCTATTTTAACCGCCGTAAGACAAAATACAGTTTAATACACATATAAAAAATTTATGAACTAACAAACGTATGCAGTGGCATTAAACATAACATTCACAAAAGCCCCAAATCTGTTAGTGATAATTTTATTTCATTTATTCTGACATCGGACAAGCTGATAAGAGGAGGTCTAGCTTGTCCAACGTCGATTGGTGTCATAATTTTCATGGCAGCTTTTAAACTCGAAACTCTGTAGTTATCTGAAAATATTTAATGACGTGAATTATGAACTTGATCGTTCTTCCAGCACAATAAAATAGTACAATTAAACATTTAATTCTTTAATACCATTCCAATAATATTTGTTAATTTGCATTCCCCAAATATTACTACTGATAGATTATTCTGTAGGAAAATGTCGTTTTTTTTAAGAAGTTACACCTGACATATAAAACAGTCCAAATCCAAATAAAACACCAGGTTTTGACCTAAACCTTGGACAAATTCTTTAATAAATACCCCAAAAAAGACATAGAGATTCTACTGTCTTAATGTGATATTCAGACTGAAGTACGTACCGGTGATCTGAAAAATTCCTTAGATGATTATGTAGCCCAAACCAGGAAGCCAAACTAAATTATGAGAAATCGTACCGGTCTGTTTCCATAATCGAAATATAATAACGATAACGATTTTAATAAATTGCTACTAAAAAGATTCAAACCCATATAATTAAAAGACTGTATTAATACTAAACTACCAATCCAGTTTTAGGAAAGAACATAATCCATCTAACAAGTAGAGAGAATAACAAGTAATCAACTGAAGATACTACAAAACAAAATGCTTGTTAATCCGGCGAAATATCCTTAATGTAGCACAAGCATATACGATAAAGTATGACATGGAGGACTACAAAATAAACTTTGTGACTTATTTTATATACCATATACACAAATAGCCTTTCAAAATTCAGGCATTAAATATAAAACCCTACAAGTCACATATTTTACGATGTTGAGATGTATACGTCATTCTACTCATAATATAAAGGGCTACCAGTTGCTGTATAGTTTTAATATAAAAGTCGGACATCTTACATTAAATATTTTGGATACAAAATAAGCTCTAGATGCAAAACCCGATATGTTCACAGCTAACCTCGGTGTAAATACGAAATGTCCACGTCAACCAATAAAAATTATGCAATGAAAGCAATGAAAGAAATATGAGTATCAAATTAGTTGGTACATTTAGTAAAACTAACTCTTGAAACAAATTGAATGTAGAGTACGAATCGAGGGGAACTATCTGAACGTTTTAAAACAAATAACGGGCTGCACCAGATAGACCCTCTGTTTGGGGAAAGTTCCTCTGTATGTGCGAATTCATTTCATATTTTTTACAGTTAATATTTTTTCTGTTACGGTACTGTAATGTGATCTAATTTAGTGCTGTATTTTAAAGACCTTTTTAAAATATATTGTTTCCTGTTGTCTTTCATAAAACTTAAACTGGCTATGTCATTTGTCATGTTGAAGTACGCAGAATTTGGCTTTTTCCTTTATATTCAAGATAAAGATTTAAATACAAAGATCGAAACAAGCGGTTGATTTATGGCATGCCTGGCTACGAGATGTTGACCATCAAATCCAGAGGGTGGTTTGTGCCCAAAACGCTCTCAAACCCTCAAGATTCACACTTCTTCGTCAGACAACGATCGATCGACACGCATCTAGTTCCGGAGTCCGGACGGTCCTCGTGCTGAGCCTGGGCGACGGCGACGCTAGCGTACGGTACCACCGACCAACTCTTCAGCCTGGTACGAACTCATCAGCAGAACCAAAGGGTAAGCCTTATAATTCTTTGTACAAAACATTGATAATGAGTAAACCAGTTAATTCCGTAATGTATTTACAATTTATAGTTGCTATTTTCACCAATTTTATGTACCAACCAATATTGCATTTTTTCGTTATAATTATTTATCTGATATAACTTAACCAGCGACCTCTCAAGTTTAATCCTAAACACCCGCTCATAGAGTCAGATTAAACATACTGCTTAATCTGACTCTGGAAAAAGTAATACGTATGTCACAAATCCACAACCACTGGTTCAATATATAATAAATCAGTATTACTCCTTGCCCACGCTGATGACATCATTATTGTTGGAAGAACAAAAAACACTGTACGAAAATCATATGTAGCACCAAAATAATCAGTTACAAAAAATGAGTTTAAAATGAAGTACATGAAAATAAACTCGAAACCACAAATCCTCACGGCCACTTGTTATAAACAACATCATCGAAGTAGTTAATGAATTTGTTTACCTGGGAGCGGGAGCGCACCTTAACGCTGAAAATCATACTACAGCAGAGATAAATAGCAGAACTTACGTGGTCATCAGGTGCTATTTTGGACTCAATCTCTATCTTAAATTCTCAATTATATCGAGGAATACAAAGTTAAAAACTCTACAAAACAATAATACGCCCAGTCCTGCTCAAGCCTCAGAACACATGACTCAGAGACTTAGCATCTAACAACAAGTAATGAAAATATGTAGGATGTTTTGAAACAAAAAAAGTACTACACGTATCTATGGAGCGGTGAATGATAATGGAGTATGGAGAAGATGATGCAACTTCGAACTTTATAGAATATACCAGGAACCTGATATCGTAAAATATGTTAAGATAAGACGTCTGAGGTAGGTAGGGCATGTAATGCATATGGAACAAATTAACCTAGCTATAAAGACGCCCCTTGAGATACACATTGGTCATAGAAGAACAGAAAGATTTAAAACAAGGTTCTTTGATAACATCAATGTAGACATGAGAAATATGGGAATACGTGCTTGGCCAAGGAAAGCGATGGATAGCGACGAATGGATAAAAATTCGTGATCAGGCAAGGACCCACACAAGGTTATTATTATTTTTAATGTGACTATCGGCGAAGAAGAATAGATACATATCATAGGAAGACATGATCTGAGAATACTAAAGAAAAGAAAAGATATGTTGGCGTCTTTCCTGTTTGGAGAAGCCAGTAATAACAAATACAATTTTAAAACTCTCAATCGTCGTCTTGGACACTTGAATACTTGAAGACTATTAGCAGATACACCTGAACGAGTGCTCCGTGACCAAATAGACTACATATGAATAAAGAAATGGTATAAAAACTCAAGAATGGTACAAAATGCACAATGGTACAAAAGCTCAAGAGGATCAGTAAAAACCTAAAAACAGATCACAATATTCTGGTAGGAAAAATGATACTGAAAAAAAAACTTCAAGAGAATGAAGTCCCTCCTCAACCTATTTCATTAGAGACTATAAATTGTAAACGCATGCCAAAAATAGATCACTTGAGAAAGGCAATCAGTCGAAACAGCTTGTAGTGATAATAGTTAAAATAAATTTTGTGGCAGTTTGAATACAAAGTTTTCAGTGTTTTATTGTTACACAAATGAAAAATTGTTAAAGAAAGTTTAGGAAACAAGATTGACTACAGTAAAAACAATAAGAAAACAAAAAGCGGATAATAAAAGAAATACTAAGACTCATGGGTCAAAGAAGAGAAGTCAGCAATAAAGATAAAACGAATACAAAATAATCCACACATTAATCAAACAGAAGATAAAGTACGAGAACTCAAAGTTTCATAAAAAATTATGTCAGTATCAAAATGAAAACTATGAAAATAAACATAGTACCTTTCACTTGCACAAGACATTAAAAAAGATTGCTGGGTACAAGATATTACTAGGTACACAGAGTACTAGATATTTACTAACAGTTAAAAATGGAAAAATAACATTTACGAATTAATTGAAGATGAGAGAAGAGAAATAAACAATATGTTCTGGGAAAAGGCCAGATGGAAGAAGGTCTGTAGGGCGGCTAGAAAAAGGTGGAAATATGCAGTCAGAGAAGATCTAGAAAAGATGGGAGTGTAACAATGGGAATTACTGGCACAGGACCGACAAACATGGAAGGCAATAGTAAACGCGGCAAAGACTCACGAAGAGTTGTAGCGCCATTGATGATGATGATGATGATGATGATGAAAGTTGCATCGAGAAGAAACACAAGATACAACGATGATTTTTGAGTATTAGCTACAGTCTGAAAAATTAAAATCTTCATATTGTTATCAATGGGAATATTGTCCCTGTTCTTTTGCGTGTAACAACTTGCCCAATGCCCATGACATTCAGTACAGATTTAAATTACTTACCATCTTTAATAACAATGTTAACGGCATCTGTTAAAACATTTTGCAATCTCTTTGCTTCGGTAATGTTATTCTCTTTAATTGCTTTAACAATTTTAACTGCGTGCTGGGGCATCATGTTTAAACTGGTAGCGATAGCGGAGTCAAATCCCATACCAAATGCGCTTGCTAATAACTAAAAAGAGACATAAATTAAAGCATTACATAAAGAGAAAAAAGGTCAAGTGGAGTAAAAGATATATATATATATTAAAATTTAAATACAGGATACTATAAAACTGTAGAGATTGGATCAATATATAAAAATAGTTGCTCTGAGTAACGCAGACCCAATCCGGATCATACGGGGCGAGCAATGCACTCGGTCAAGATCTAGTTAAATCTTTATTGACTCTTGAGTCTAGGCAGCATAGACATACTAAGATTAGACTAGGAATCGTATGCAAAATAGTGAAACGCGGAGCACTCGATCGGTGGTCTATCTATCTCTCTTTAGCACCTAGCGTTATAAATGCACCTCCCACCTCCAGTATTTTTAATACTTCCACCTATATTAGTTTAGTAGATCACGTGCATCTAACAAAGATCTATAGATGTACCATGTCCTTTCAGAATGTTGGTTACCATCATAGCTATCTTAATTTTATTCAGTGCCACCCTAAATAGCATGCTTGTATCAACACCATACCAATCTCGCAAGTTATTCAACCATGAGGTTCTTCTTCGTCCTAGACTGCGTTTGCCTGCTATTTTTCCTTCCATTCCTTACCTAGTCTATTATTATTATGTGTATAGTAGATAGGATTTGTTTCACAGTCGATTGTATCGCTGAAAGTGTGGATTCAAAATCATCATTGTAGCCATATGTGCTACTTTACAATCATTTTCTACGCCTAACTCATAAATTAACGCTCTGTACAAACTATTTACAGTACGTTAAGTTTTGGATTAGATATTTCAAACTACATAAAGCGCTAAAATCGGCAACATTGCCTCGTACGAGGTAATTGTAATAATTCTCCGATCACCTCCCAAACCTTATATTCTTAGACTCCTAAACCACCGAACAACTAACACCGTTGTTCGGTGCCTAAACTACGTTCCACGTTTAGAAAATAACATTGCGGAGATAGGGCCATGTAATTTCTTATGGACGATAGCCACGCGGCGTTGCCACGATACACACAAGCACAATTTAGGGTTGTATAATTTGTATTTTTTGTCCATTTTTTTCCACAAACATGAATTAAATTAATGTTTTTTAACGTAATTGACCAAAAGTGCCCATTCGAAACAAGAGATGAAAAGTAGGGAAAATGATTTTAATTAGATAAATAGTATTTACAAAAGATAATTTTATTTTATCTTATTTTAATTATAGTAACGACAGTTTATTTGTTTTCGGTGAGAATACGATATGCCATGAATCATAGAAATCAGTAGAAAATATTGACCGCTTGGAATGCGTATATCTAATTACTAATTGCAACTTAAAATAATACGATGTGCGTATGTCAGCTATTTTATGTCGTTCTCTGACTACATAATGATAATAAGGCTTTTATTTAGTAGTTATTCTGACTTTAACAGTTAAATGTTAATTGAAAATGAAAATTCAAAAATTAAGCAAAGGGAATATCTTGGACATCCGTGTAAAAGAGAGTGTCTGAGAGTTTTGGCAACACTGATCTCCATAAGCGTAATGTTATTTTCTTAACTTGAAACAAAGAATAGACAGAAAACGAAAACCATTTAGTAACACATAACAATGCAAGGGATATTGTATATCTCCGTCTGTCGATTTTTGTTTTGCTAATGTATAGCCGGTTAATTTCTTATTACATAAACTCGATAAAAAATACACTGACCATTATAAGGTAAGGCATTTGTATAAATTTTTAATACGATTTGGTATTGGTGGTTGAATTAAAAATAAAAGCACATTTCTTTAAAAAGATAAAACAAAAAATGTACTCTTATTGAAAATAAAAAATAATTTATAATTAAATAAAAAATAATTCTTTATGCACTACAGAAATGATTCAAATATTTGACCTATCGTTGAACAGTATCCCAATCTGTCATAAAAACTTCTGCGGGCAGATGTAAAAGTTTTTAATGTAACAGAATTGGAGACTTCTCTTATTAGGTTTTTTAATTGATCCAAATTTTGGGCTCTAGCCTTAGGATGATCGTAAATTATGCTTTTTAAATGTCCGCAAAAAAAAGTCCATGGGTGTAAAATCTGGAGATCGCGCAGGCCACTTAATATCGCCTGTTCCACAGATAATTCGAGTATTGTTTAAGTACTCCCTACTTATTCTAGAGTTGTGAACTGAACAGCCGTCTTGATGGAACGAAACATTCTCCAGATTTACATGGGGGAGATTGAAAATAGCGGAGAGAACATGATTCCGTAACAAATCGATTTATACTTTACTATTCAAGTTACCCTCAATAAAAAATAGACCTATTATGTGGTCTCCTAAAAGGCGAGTCCAAACATTACTTTTTTGAGGACATTGAGTTCAGTAAACAACACTTCCGTGCTGGTTTACGCTCCCTCAAAACCTCGTAATGGACGGATTGTATCTCCCTACTAACAAAACAGAGGCTTCATTAGTAAATAAAATGTTTTTAATAAAATTGGGTTCATCATTAGCCTCCGTTATTAGAGTTTCACAAAACTCCATTCTTCGGATGTAGCTTGGTTAAAGCTGATGCGTTTTAGAATATTTATTGGGACCGTGCAAGTTCGGAACAGCGACACCTGGTGTCGTAAATCAGCCAAATTTACTGCGCTTTCATGTTAGATCGAGGTTACCGGATAACTGTCAAGGACGTGGCCCAAAAAAAAATAAGAAGAAAAAGTAAGATTGAGGTTATGTCGGTATGTTATTAAAAGGTAAACGTTGATGTAGCGTAAATACAAATAAATATATTATTGAATTACAGCATTACTGTTAATATGGATGCAATAATAAAAACTGGATTTGAGAAAGTAAATCACCAAATAACTTTTCAACCAAGCACGAGTCAAAGGGAAAAGCTTTAGTAGTGGCAAATGTCAAAAAAGAATGGAAGAATTATGTGGAGTGGAAGAATTAAGAAAAATAAATTACCATAAATAATGCTAATGCATAAATTAGCAGGTTAAGCCCATGATATCATCATATTGGTTTAACAATTAATTCTTTCCCTGTAAACTTTTGGACAGCGAATATATCTTAATGCATCTTTAGAAAAACTTGAACTTGATGCATTTTTGTAAACTTCAAAAAAATAAAATTCAAACATAAACTTGATTTTTGGGTTAAAATGAACTCTAAGTGAGTGTTATGAAACTAAAATTTACACTTAAAAGTGAACTTTTATTTAATATTTATTTCAAACTGACTTTAAAATCGGACGCAAGAATAATGCATAATTTAGGTTATGTTACTTATGCTTTTTTATAATATAAATCCACTTTTCTCTTTCTAGTAACTTTGTGCTTCGAAGTTGGAAACGAATAAAACTTAAATTGACAATTTTTTGTTGTATTTTTACAATTTATAACACAGCATTTCCTAAATCCCATTTTCTTCAGTGACAGAAGGTGTAAATAAACAAAACGAATATGAAATATGACAATTGACAATATGAATTTATGAAATCTATAATCTATGAAATGTGCAATAAAAAATGCAAGATTTCTCCACTACTCGCGCACGATCGTTTCTCGTATCCCCTCCAAGTACTTGCACGTCGCCAATAAATTTTGTATCCGTGCTTTTTCGTGTTACAGTAACATTGCTAACATTTAATCAAAGAATAACGCTTATAGAAGAATCTTTCACTGTTAGTTTTGAAAGTTGGCAAAAGATGATCGCACGTTATGAAAAAGAATGAGAGGTGGATCGAGATTTAAGTACCAGTAGGAAGCAGTCATGTCGGCGCTATTATTGCTTTTAAAATATGAAAGAGTGGGGCAACAAATGCAACAGATATTTTTATGTAGATGCCGCGTGGCCGTAGAATAGGATTAAATTTTTGCGTTTTATAACATTTTTTAAAGAAAATATTATTTTAACTTTTACTAAATGAATCCTATTAGAAAAAATATTATGATTCAAATTTTTAATTTAAATATGTACAAATCTACAAATAATATACTTAAAACTCTCTTCATATTAACTATAAATAAAATTAATTCAATCAATAAAGTCATCAATCACCGGAATTAAATATTCCAAATTTTCTAAATTTAATAATTTCTTCTTCTTTGTTTTTAATATAAAATAACATAAAATGTAAAACATAACACTGTTTTTCTGCAGAATAATGGAAAATTGTCTCAAAAGAGGAAAATTAAATTTTTGGTTGAAAAATTTTTAAATTTTTAAAAAATATTTCGTTAATTTTTGGGCAGAAAAACAGTATAATAAAAATTTATGTGACGGTTTTTCGTTGTGTTGGAACAAACCTATTTTTAATTCAAAGTTATAAACTGTAAAAAATAAATGCTTTGAATATTGTAAATATCATACCTTTTTAAATTTCAAAATTAAAAATTTAACAATTTAATATATTAAAAAATAAAGATTTTATTGTGAAAAAACCGAAAAAGCATGGGAATTTTTTAAATCGTAGATGCAAAGTTAAATAAATAGCTCCGTTCGTACTCCTTTCCCACTTTCCCCTAACTACATCTTTTATGATAGTTTTAAGCTGACTGCCAACTGCCAGATGTGTTTTAAAGTATAAACCGTAACCAAATCGGTGCCAAATCGCCCATTTGAACTGTTCTTCTATGAGCGTCTATCTATATTCTTTGATTTAACTCTCTAGCAACGCTCCTACTTGAACGCGTTGAAACTTCGATTGTTGCACAAATTGGTGTATTCCGTATTCTCCTTCCTCAACTTTTTATGGTGACACCTCTAGAGCGTAACATTTTCTGCAATTTTTGAGGCAATAACAACTCTCAAATTTTTGATTTACATTACTACACTACATTACATTAACATTTTATTATTTTATTTGAAATTTTTCTGTGAGCGTATAAACAGACATGTTGTTTACAAGAATAAATTAAAAATCTACGCTCTTATTGCTTTACAACCCCTCTATAATAACAGATTATTCGACACGGCAAGTCGGGGGCGCGCAGTGTTGCCATTTATAGTGTGTATATCTAATTTAAGACGTACTATATATATACTTACTGTGTCTGCTCCTAAAAACACCGCACTTTTGCCTTCGCTTGCCCTAAGAGCTGCAATGCCTCCTTCTAAATCTGTAGATGTATATTTAATTCCTCTAAAGGTAGGAATTTTCTCCAGTGCTTCTTTTATAAACTTTTCCATATTAACTAAAATATAAGATAATCTTAGACTATTCTGTTGTACTACATAAAGTAAATTAGTAAGGTATTTGTTAAGTCAGTGCCTTGTTAGATAAAAGTCGACTTCCTGGTCTTTATAGAGAGTCTCTTATTATATCTGAATAACGAGTACGGTATGCGAAGTGAGTACCGATCCGACAAAAATGAGAATTGTCTCCCACCAAAATTACATTTAAAAAAAGAATAAGCTGATTTCAATAATATATATCTGCAAGATAAACTTACTGTTAATGCCTGTCCATCCAGGAATGTGATAATATAACAACGGCGTCTTTGGTGCAGCAGCTCCAACATGTTTCAAATAGTTCACTAGTTCAGTCGAGTTTGTTGGTTTAAAGAATAATTCAGAGTGGCAAAGTAAGGAACCAACACCGACGGATTCAGCATGCCTGGCCATTTCTACAGCATCTGGTAATGGGCATCCTCCAACTTGCACCATTAAATGTTGTTTGGTTTCCTTTACTACCTTCGCCCATACTTCTACGACGGCTTTTCTTTCTGAGACAGTCATTGAAACACCTTCCCCTGATGTTCCATGTACTAAAAATCATTTTGTTTATAATATGACTATTCAGGTTCAAAATTAACAGTAATAATTACTAATATAATGAAGTGGGTGTTCGGGTTCTACTTAGGGTTGATCATTTTACGTATAAGGTTAACTCTACGTGGCTTATCGGTAGTCCACTGAAGTGGAACTGGGTGAGTTATGTGACCAGAATGGATGACAGGCGGTGGAACCAAAAATTACAGTGTGGAGATTATGAGCAGACAGAAGAGGCAGAGGTAGACGACCTAAACGATGGACAGATGACATCAAAAGAATCGCTGGGAATTGGCTGCAGGTCCACTGCGGCAATAAGTCCACTCTTGAGACCAGTAGAAATGCTAAATACCTTTCCTACATTCATTGTTGCTTTCTTTGTTGAGGATTTTCTAGAACGAAGTGTTAAAGCAGTACTATTGTACTGTTTTTGTTATTGGGTTGTGTTTCACATGGGTTTCATTTATTTCTGTTATACTATAGTAAATTTTAAAACATGTTCTATAAATGGAAATGGCAATTGTTGTATGGAGGGCAATACAGGCTTTATTATGAAATTCTAATTTGTGCAATTTAGATAAACAATTATTCGTCATCATCATTTATTATTCTACAATACATTCGAGCTTTTTCTTAAAATATACAATATTCTCCAAGAGTATTGTAGTGGGCCTAAGGAATGATTCCTTTTATTGTTCATGTTTTATAAGTCACCGTGGTGCTCAATTTGAGAGAAGCACTTTTCTACACACCTTAATGCGCTTACTTAAAACTTATCATTTCAAGAAGTTTCTGGAAGAGTGCCGTGTATATAACACAGTTCTGAAAATTATATTGCATCATTGATGAAATGGTATGGACGCAACTTATAGGAATTCTTTAAAAATATTTAATAAAGTAAATACGGCAACCTCCATCCTTAGAAAGGTGCAGAAACCTGTAGCAAAATATCGTATCTATATAGGAGCAAAGTGTGTTCGCGGAGTTTGTGTTCTCACATAGATAATAATAAATGAGAGCATATCTCAATGCGTCTGGATGACAGTGGCACAGTTTATTTATTATAAATAATAGACCTATTAAAGAAAAGAAACTCTTACCCAAAACTCCATCGATTCCATTCTTAGCCAAGAATTTTGCATATTCTGGTATGGCTGCTACATTGACCGATCTAAAAGATATATTATAAGTTTAGTTTGGTATGTGGTTACTTTTTTTGTAATTGTCGTATGGCCAAATTCCAGTAAAAGCCTAAGAAGGTACCCATGGAATTCTGGTACCTTAACCGTTCCAGAGAGATGGCCTTGCCACTCAATAAACAACTAAAATAAAAACCTAAAATTTTATATATAACCATATCTATTACCGTAAATCAGAAAATGTTTCAGACGTTAGGCTATAAACTAATATATAATATTAACCATAAATTTCAGATCCCTGACTCAATTTCCTCCTCTGTCCTCCTGTTCTTTTTTCTTCATCACCCCAGAAATCAGACAGTGTACTTCTCTCCATTCCTTCTCTCCTCTCAACATTATGATTATTATGTTATGTTATAATATATTAAAAAAGTGATTATTTTTGTACGTGTGCAACAAATGGTTAAATCAGCGGCGGCCGGCCAGGTGAAGTAGGTGAAGGTGAGGTTCTCAAAAAAAAAATATAATTAAATTGAGACAAATAATTAAAAAATAAAAGCAAAATTATTATATCTAAATTCTGAAATCAATTATTTATTGTCTTTTAATTAATCTAAAAATTAAAAAAGACAGCTAGCTTTATTAGCGGTGCGGTATGTACTTGACGGTCAAGTGCTGACCTGTGTCACTTGCTGTGTATGATTCAGTAATAGGTGAATATCATTTTTGAAATGCGAAATCCATCTGCATAAGCGTTCACGGTTGCCATGCCAACGTGACGTCAGCCTGTCGCTAGTGATAGTTTGAAAAAATTAGCTGGTGCAGTTCCGTTAAAAAATATATCATCCGTCTTCACCCACTCGCCACTAGTTGCATAGGTACCTATCTAGTATTCGCAGCAAGAATATTTTGAAATTTAGTCTATTATATAGACATTTTTTATATAGTCTAGTGTATAGTATTATATTTATTAGTTTAGTTTTTATATAAAAATAATAATTTTTATATAAGCTTTCCTCATCTTCACCACTTTTTTAGGCCACGAGCCGCCGCTGAGTTAAATGTATTCCAAGAAAAAAAAAAGTAGTTTAGTCGATAGTAGTGTACTTTGTAAAGCACTAATAAGTACTTCACTTTTTTAAATTAATAATTATGAAGTTTATTTAACCAAAAATACTTTTTTTTAATATATATCTATAAGGTGAATATTGACATATACTTATCGCATATTGTATACGTTACTTGAACTTCACATTGATAACGATACATTTGTATAAAACATTGTTAAAAAATTCGGATTTCATTGCATAATAAAGTAACTGAATGATAATGTTACAGTAATAATTATCAAATAGTTATATTTGTATAGGATTTTGCCATTTTTTATTTCATTTTCATCTCCAAATACTTTACAGAAATAGTTGAATTTTCTATTTTATCTATTTGATAATGGGTTAGGTTGTCAACAAGTTGAAGTTGAATCCCGATGATAATACCGACAGAAAAGTAAGTCGGCTGGTAAGAATTTATATTTGTTGTGATAAAAATAACCGTACCAAAATTAACCACTTGCATAACATTAACCCCGGTATGAATCATACCAGTTGAGAGGGCATTGAAATACATGAGACATGAGAGGTCAGTCGTTCTGATCAATCGTGGAGGATCATGTGTTCCAGTAGGCGTAAAATCTTCTTTGGGGACCATGGTTTGTTAGAGATAAAAGAGAATCTGAGTAAAAGGTAATTTGATAATAAATTTGAGACATTTCAAGGGGTTTTCGAGTTAAAACTACAAAAGAAAGGTATAACAATTGGCTAATGAATAGCGCTAACACAACACGTTTAGAATTTCGTACAGGATAAAAAATAAGATTTTACGATTTAAACACAACCATGATTTATATATATTACAATGGTTTCCACAGCCTAATACGGCTTTTCGTTCCTAATCGCCAAAAGTCTTCTTCCCTAAAATTTTTTTTAAAAATCGCCTTGTCGATGCCCTTTATCCATCCTGTTGCCGGTTATCCTTGTTTCCGTTTTTCTGTGGCGGTTCAGTCTAATATTTTTTCGGGGATTATTCTCTTTACTTTATGGGTACGGGCGGAATACTTCGAAGATATGTTAAATATAGACCAACAAGTAGAACTAGAGGGAAAAGAGAATTGGCAAGAAGAGGAAGAAGAGATGTGCGAGGAACCAACTTTGAATGAAGGTAATAAAATAATAAGGACTTAAAAAATAAAAAAAAAGTGCAGGAGATAGTGGTATTTCAGCTGGACTTTTTAAAGAAGGCGGCGAAAAACAAAGAAAAACATTTCGCTTAACATTAAAAGTTCGGCAAAAGGACGAAATACCAAAACAATGGAATCTTATTTGTCCGATCTATAAAAATGGCGAAAAAACTACAATGCATATTTGTTTGCTGTATTGACATATATTTCTTTTATTACAGAAATAAAAATGCCCCAGTATCAGCGCAGGGCCTACGAGGCAACTGGATGGAAGAAAATGGGACCGCAGTTAACACAGCTAGTCGTACATATCACATCCCAAGGCGGACACTTCGACGATATTTAGAAGAGGGAAAACAAGTAAAGTTTTGTCTAGGTGAAAGACTATACTTACAAATGCCCAAGAAGCAGAATTAGTTCAACGTATTATCCGTCTTTCGCAAATTGGATATCCACTTACTGCAAAGGTACTTTGTAAGTGTGTATATTGGTTTACAGAACTCAATAATATCCCAAATCCTTTTCAAGAAAGCAAGGAATAGCTGGTCGTTATTGGCTACGTGGTTTTATGAAGCGCAATCCCCAAATCAGACCTAGAAAAGCACAAACTTAAATCCGGCTAGGGCACACAAGCTTAATAAATTTATTGTAAAAGATCATTTTACTAAGCTGGAAGGTATTTTAAGATAAATGGACATACTTGATAAGCCCGAACGGATATATAATGTATACGAGAAAGGTTGCAGGTTAACACTTTACCACCAGCAGAAAGTTCTGGCGCAAAAAGGGCTAGAAGAGTACATGTTGTTGCAAACGAACATGGAGAAAGTGTTACCATTGTTTCTTGTAGTAATGCTCTCGGTACAGCCATCCCTCCAATGGTACTTTTTAAGGGTAAACGTAGTAAGCCAGAATGGGTTGACTCACTAACTCCAGGTGCTGTTGTCCAAATAACTGCAAAAGGTAGCATGAATATTGAAACGTTTTCAGTTTGGCTTAAACACTTTTCAAAATTTAAGGTTGCTGGTCCATATATTATCAAATTTGATGGTGCAAGATGCCATTCGGATCACACTATTGTAGAAACTGTCGAAAGATACGAAATTACTCTATACTGTTTACCTAGTAATACTACTCACGAGCTCCAACCAATAGACAAAGCTGTATTTAGAACCTTTGAATATTACTGGGATGATAAAGTTATAAAATATTATTCTATTCATAGCGATCGTGTTATTACCAAACAGAGATTTGGGGCAATTTTTTCTACAGTTTGGGACAAAAGTTCTTAAGGTGGCCATATTACCTGCACATACCTTAGTAGAAACAATTGTATTTTGAAGTAAATATATACTTTGCAATCCTCTTCTTAAATTGTCCCTCATATTTAAAAGTATTCATTGTTGTGCATTATTTTATTTTTATGTTAATTAATAATAAATAATAAATTATTAATAAATAATAAATTAATAAATTTTAGGGAAATTATTCATTATGAGTAAATTCAGTTGCCAGTTGCGTACTTACAAATCTTTATTGAATATTGTGAAAACTGGTGCACATAATCCTCTATACGTAAAAGAAACCTGAAAAAGAGAAAAAAAAAATACAATCAGAATTTATGGAAATTCATATGTTAAAAAGTATATGAACATAACCCAAACACTATGTTGATTAACCTTTAGCTTCATCGGAAGGAGTAGTGTAAAAACTTTCTTTTGACAGATGACCAGAAAGTGACGACCACTTACTTACTTACTCTATTAAGTCCGTGCATCTTTATTATAGAATTTTTGCTAGATACCGTCGGTTGCATTTTTATTTGCAGGTCATAAAATTTTGAGCTTATATCGATAGGAGTCAGTCTATGCATATTATAAGACGTTCCATTTTTTATATATCACCAAAGTCATAGTTTATTTAGATCGTAACATTTCTGCTTTGTGCAAATTTGTGATTGACGTCGATTTCACGCATTCCGTTACACTCATCCATGTCTCATTTAGCGCCATATCCACATGTTCGATGGGGAAATATCTGTTCCAAACGAGGCACACATATTCACTAGTCGGGAAGCATGGTGCCAGTGCTGGTTGTTGTTTATATACATACTAGATGTATCCTATTTTATACACATTATTTTTATAAGTACTGTTCCTAGTTGGTACTTTGTCTTTTGTTATATGCAATGATTTGCAAATAAGAGATCTGTCCATAGTTGGTCCAAGATATTTAGTCTTGTTCATGTGTTGCAGTATATTTCCATTCCATGTAATTGAAAATTATTGCTTGCCTTCTATTATACGAAGCAAGAAGGTTAAAAAGTATTGGCGTTTGAATGTTTCCCTGTATTAAACCGTTCTTTTTAGTGTCGCCCTCCAAAGGACAAAAAACCCATGCATAAACCTTCAATTTAAAATGCAAAAAAAAAACATACACAAAAGCTAAACGTTTAAAAAACACATTCCAACCAAACGGGGAAGATAATCTTGAATGAACTGACTGATCTTCAACAAGACGAAATAACAATTAAATTTGTTACTCCTAAGGAGTCCAGGAGGAGAAAAGCTTCCAAAATAAGATACAGCAAACATTATTCACTTAATAAATGCATCATTTAGACTTAAGCCAGTACCGATTTACTGGAAAGATGTGGAATTAATAATGATAGCAAAGCCAGGTGAACCGGAAAATTAAGTTTCAAAATATAGACCTACATATATCTCTGTTGCTTAGACTCTATTGCCTATATACTTATTTTTAGCAATAGTACTTGAAAAACTATTGCTAATAATAATTAAAACCAATAATTCAAATCAAAGGAATCTCATACCCCTCATCAGTTTTGTTTTAGGGAAAGTCATTCAAACTTGGATCAAATACAAAGAATAAATAATTTAATAGAAAGAGTACTGGAAGGAACGACAGTTTGTTTAGTTGTCTTTCTGGATGCTGCTTCAGCTTTCGATAGAGTCTGGCATAAGGTCCTTATTAACAAACTAAAAAGAGTACTACCAAAGTAATACTTCCAATTATTAGAGTCTTACATTTTAAACATAATCTTTGGAGTCAAGCAGGAGGAGGCCTATTCTTGACTGAAAAAAGTCAAAACGGGAGTACCGCAAGGTAGTGTACTGGGGTCACTACTCTACCTCTTATACACTAATGATATTCCAGAAATTGAAGAAGATATGGTAGACACTTGCGCTGATGCTCAAGCTATCCGATCAGTTTTAGAAGACCTTGAAGAAGCTCAATAGAAAATTAAAATTAATGTCATCAGTGCATGCCAACGTCATCTATATAAGAGAGCGATATATCAGCCTGTCAAAATAGATAACATTCAGATCCGTGTTGCAGACTCTATAAAATACCTGGGGTTATATTTGGTTTAGAGACTGCTTTGGAACATTGACATTTAAAAGAAGAAAGAAAAAATGTAACAAACTACAGATTTACAGACAAATACTAAGACCAGTACAGACATTCAGCGCACAGCTCTGGGGATGAGCCGCTAGAAACAACATTGAAATGATACAGAGGTTTAGAATAAGTTACTTGGGACCAGCGTTGATGCTGCATAGTACGTAAAAAACAGCTGCATCCACCGAGATCCGAAGTTGGAAACAGTAGAACAAATAAATGCCAAATATGCCAGCAGACGTGGTCAACGTCTACTGTATTATGTAAATATCTAGATCATCCAACTCCTAAATAACACAGATATAGAAAAAACGCTAAGACAACAAAACCCTTCGACTTAATAAAGTGAAAATAATTAATGTAAAAGCAGAGCAGTTCGAGCTTCATATACCTGTAAATTATAAATATAAGGTAAATTAGTAACTATATAAACATTACTGAATGAAACTATAGCTCTTAAAATGGCAACTGTAACAATTTAGGTTAAAATAGAACTGCTTATTAACCTTTCACGCAATCACAAATCCTACGACCACTTGCTATGGAAAACGACATTATCGGTGCAGTTAACGAATTTGTATACCTTGGAGCACTCATTAATACTGAAAATAATACTACCGCAAATATAAACTGCAGAATTTGCATGGTCAACAGATGCTAGTTTAGGCTCAATATCCTAAAATCCTCAATTATATCGAGAAATACAAAGGTAAAGCTTTACAAAAAAATAATACGCCTAGTCCTAACATATATAATGAAAACGGATGATTAGGTTAGGATGATTCGAAAAAAAAAGTACTAAGGTGAATCTACGAAACAGTGAATGACAATGGAGTGTAGAGAAGACGATATATCATAAACTTTATAGAATATATCAGGAAACAGTTATCGTGAAATATATTAAGATAGGATGTTTAGGGTGGGTAGGGCATGTTATACGGATGAAACCAAATGACCCAACTAGAAATGACCCCCTTGGTCAGAGAACAAGAGGAAGACTCAGAACAAAGTTCCTTAATAATATGGATGAATATATGAGAAATATGGATACGAAATATGGATACAACAACCTACAGCCTATAACACAAATCACCAACTTTTGTTATCTGGGTGCGTACTTAAATTAACAGTGGGACCAATCGACGGAAATTAAGATAAGGATCGAGAAGGCAAAATCAGATTTTGTCAAAATGAAAAAAAATTTTAACGGCTACGATATAAAATTGGAAATAAAAGTTCGTTTACTAAATTGCTACGTATTCTCCGTTTGTTTACATGGCGTGGAGTCATGGACCTTAACTGAAGCATCACTGAAGAGACTCGAAGCATTTGAGAGGTGGTGCTATATGCGCATGTTGAGGATTTCCTAGATAGACAGACTTACCAACGAAAAAGTACTACATAGAATGGCCATATAATGAGAAAAAGTCGTAACCATAAAATGTCGCAAACTGAATACCTGGCCATATAATGAGCAATGAACAACGATATGACCTACTTCGGACCATACTTCAAGGTAAAGTGCATGGGAAAAGAGGTGAGGGACAAAGAAGAATATCCTGGCTGCATAACCTGCGAAAATGGTTTAACTTAACCACTACCGGACTTTTCAGAGCAGCAGTCAACAAAGTCAGAATAACCATGTTAGTGTCCAATATCCGTAACGGATAGGCATCATAAGAAGAAGAATGGATACGTGCTGGACGGATGAAAGTGATGAATAGAGACGACTGAGGAGAAAATCTTGAGGAGACTAGAAACCACGCAGGGTTGTAAAGCCAGAGAGATAATGATAATTATTAAACTTCTTCATCAGATTGTAGTGCAAAGTACCCTTAGCTTATTGGTATAATAAAAAGAATGTCTCGTGAAAAATGATCAATTTTAATTTATACAATCTAAAAAAATATTTTATTTTTATATCGGTGCCCTTCAAAATTTGGCGCCCCAGGCATTTGACCGACTTGTCCCTTTATTTGTTGCGGCTACAATGTATACCAATACCCCAAAAAAGCAGCAAATATGAAAAAACATTCATGAAAAGGTTCAATCAACAGAAGGTGCAGACTTTAGAATAAATGAAAATGGAAGTAAGACTAATTTATCTTTTCTTTTCGAAATCAGAAGCTGTTAACTCGTAGTAAACTGGTTGATAAAGAGTCCATAAAGAAGAACAGTCCAAGATAAAAAAACAAACCAAAAGATCAACACACAAACCGACACACAAGATGACACTCGCCAAATCGTTAGGGGTGGGAAATAAAACTTGTAAAATAAAATTGGACAAACAAAAAGAAAGTAAAAAGAGCAGCATGGGCGACTTTACAAAGATAGGCCCTTGTATAGAGCATAAGAGGATGGTGGAGTAGCTAAAAAATCGAGCCACCTTTCGAGAAAACACGTACGACCATCGCCTTTGGCAATGTTTGGTTTGTCTGCCGCAGCTTTAGACGAAACGTTGTCAGGAAGAAAGAATTCCAGACCACCGCCTACAAATCCAAATCCTGAAAACAATGTATCATTAGATAGAGTGTGTGTGTAGGTGCTTGATGTAATTTATGACTGCAGATTGCTAGATCCATTCGCCTTATTACAAGAAAGAATATATGAAATATAATATATGAAATACACAAATGTGAATGTCAGAAATCTATTATCAAAAATTTTTTAAAAAACCTCCAAAATATGTGACAAAAATACGAATAGCAAACTTACCATTTTCAAAGCCTCGTCGAGTGTTGACTGCAGCCACTAATTTATTGTGATAAAAGTCGAATAATTTTAATATTATTTATATATACATGAGAGAATTCAATTACGCAACTATCATATCTTCATTATCAGGTATATATTTAAAAACATTTGTATTAGCTTGTTTACACTAAAGAAATCTTAAAGTAGCTCCTTATCTCACCGAATTTTAACACGTCGAATGCTTATATCAAAACATTTTAATAGATATATAATTATATATAATTTTTTATAAATGATCATTTAGTAACTAAAAGCTAGATCCTTTAAACTAAATACACAAATATACGTATTCACATATAGAAACACAAACATTTAACGATTTTCGAGGTATTTGATACAAAACTGCTGTAGACAAACCGTAATGTTAAAAATAGACATACATTTTATATATACAGTAAACACTGTAAACAGTGAGTAAACACAACAAAAATATTGCGTGTGAGATTCTTGTCATATTTCAAATCTGTCAGTAATAATATTTGTATTTGATATTATAATATTATAACACTTATCTGAAAAAAATTCTCTTTATTGTTTTCATGCATGATAACGTTATTTTTGGTGCTCTAAACGCGAAATTTACCGTGATAATAAATGCACATAAACTTTCATATCATTAATTCATTCATTAAATGATCATAAAATGATCATTTAATTGAAAAACCGTATTGTTAGAGTAACAACAACTATAAAAAAAAATAAGTAGTACTATGTTTAACTTTGCAGTAAAACATACTATTTTTCGGGCAAAGGTCATGAAAATTTCAATAAATCTATCTCACTATGATGATAAAAACCAAGGTATTTTGCAGTTTTCTTTCTTTTTGATTACTTTAATTAAAGTTTTTCGGTAAACCGATCAACAAATATCGGTAAGCATCGTTGATGATCATTTCCCATTGTAGCGTATTTCAATGTGCAATATATCCTGGTGAAACCTTTCCCCATGCTCATCTGATACTCGCAACAAGATTTTCAAGAAAAAAATCTATGTTCGAATCGAAAAAATAAATTTTATTCATCTTGATAAGCAATAAGAAGCCAAGGAAATTTACACATTTCGAGTAGAGCCTCCAAATCTATTTTTTAGCACTGTTTAACTTCGTATTAATAGCTACATCTGTCATAAGCTATCGTATTTGCGGAGTAACAAAAATTCCTTCTTTCAACTTTGTCGCTGATTCTAAGAAATTAAGTTTTAAGATACTGAAAGCCTTTACCATTTTTGTTCACAGCTTTTTAGAAATTTTTCATGAATCCCCGCTTTATGTGAAGTGGTGTGAGGAAGCTTGTGTGTTTATCTCTTACACGGTTATTCCATTCACATAGAAAACATTAAAACTATATCCTCCTTGTCATCCAGTAAGTATAGATTAGATCAGCTCATATATTCCATAGCCTTTGATAATATTTTATTTTCTCATGTAGGGAACCTGGCCTAAAATGACATACTACTTTTTTGTCGTCCAATAACTTTTTATTTTTTTAATAAAAATTTAAAAAAACATAAATGTTGTTCATTGTTTGGAAGTAGAACAGATCATGGAACATAAAGCTCTAACAACACAATATTTTTTAATTAAAAAAAGGAAACAAAATAAACGTTGCTATGTCATTTTATCCAAGTATATTCGGCTAAAACGACACACTCACATGGATAAAATGTCAATATAAACTAAATTAGCAAAGTTCACAAATAAATTTTTTGCACGGTTTTTAGATACCAGCACCAATCACAGTGTGCCCATTTTGAGCATTTTTTTGGCACCTAATCCAGAATTCTTTGGATCTTGAATGGGAGTACAAACTGTTACAATATAAACATGGAGGATTATTTTTCAACAGTGGTCAAACAATGGTCTAAGTGTGTGAATTAAAGTCAGATTCCTAATTGCTCGCTTTGCAGCTTGACGTTTTTCTGTAGCTCGCTTCTCGAGTGCTTTGGCTTTTTGTTCTTTCATATTTGGGGTAGTTGTTAGAACTTTTGTTCCTTCTTATTTTCTTTTTTTGGACCGTGACTGGACACCTGTACACGATGGAAGAGGTGAAATGTCAAGTGGACGAATACCAGGATTAATTGAAGAACAACTTTCAAGTGAGTTTGGTCTAGGTGTAGAAACCGGTTTGTTTCCTTGATCTGGAAAATCTTGATGTCGCAAAAACATTATCATTATCTTCTTTTGACTCTGTTAGGGTTGAATTGTAACTTCTTCTTGAATATCTGTTATTTTAGAAGGATTAAATAAATAATCAGGAATATGTCGGGATTAAGGGGCCAAATTCCAGTCTTTAAAAATCCACTAACGGCATTTTGGTGTGTAGCTGCTTTTCCATACGCTGTAGCAAATAATCCTCCAACTTGGTATTGCGAAACTGTTCTGTCTGGATGACACTTCATCCACTTGGTAACTTCTTGATCATAGTAGCTCTTAATGGACCAAAGAAACATACATTTAACGGCTGTAGACGATGGGTACAGTGTGGCGGAAAACACAATATCACTATTCCATGTTCTTTGGCAAAAGTTAAAACATTAATGTTTTTATGGCTCGCATGCCCATCAAGCAACAGCATAACCTTGTCTTCTATAGAAGGATTAGAATATTCTTTAAAATGTTTTATCCATGTTAGGAACACTTTGCCTGTCATCCATCCTGTTTCCTGTGCTATTCCTAAAGTTCCTAAAGGCGCTTTCATCTATTAATTCTTTTTCCAATTTTTCCTGGGAATATAAGTGTTGGTGGAACATAATTCCCACTGAGCTAATGCAAGCAACTATTGCTAATGTTTGCAAATATTTTGCCGGGTTTTTGAACCGTGGATAGGCCTATTCATCCACATTCCATATGCGTGTAGAATTAATTTTGTTATTTGTAATAGTATCCTCTAAAAGTTTAAATAAATTGGCAATTTGCGGCCTGTTGAATGATTGCGCTCTTGCTGCAGACGTGGACTCGGGTTTTCTAAGGGATATATCGGGGTGTCTAGACCGAAACCCTCGTAACCAATCCCAACCAGCCATCTTAGTGGTTGTGTTAAATCGTGTACTATTCCATTTCGATCTGCTAACTGGTAGGCTAAAGAACGAACGACATCACAAGATAATCCAAACAAACTTGATTCTAGGAGTATTTATGTGTGTTACGAGGTCTCTTTCTAATTCTACAGAGAACGTAGTTTCGTACCGGCCAAGACCTTTATTAGTACATGATACCCGTTTATTTCTTGTCTGGATGCTCGTCTTCTTAAGTAGCTTGGGGCACATTAAAAGTTATCGATGCCTTTAAACCGGCCCATATCTCCACACTGGACTGCCTGGATGGCTCTTTGCATTTGTACTGGATCCCAAGACTGGCGTGTACTTTTCCTTTCATAGTGTCCCACCATACTAAAAAAGAAAATACCATACATTAATATTCTACCTACCATATTATTATTAAAATTTATATGGGCAAAATGACATACTATGTCATTTTACCCGAGTATTTAATATGTCGTTTTACCCAAGTGTGAACAAGAACACATTTTTTACAATAAATTTTTTGTTTAAAACAAACAAAGCTTCCAAACATGATGTTTCTGTTAATATGAATAACAATACATACCTGGAACTAACAGAGATATAAAATTTTAAAGTTTTAAACGTTTTTATAGCGAAGTATAACGTCGCCTACCAAAATATTTTGGTACTCAATAAAGCACAAACCACCTTTTAACAAGTAAACGACTGAACTGATCGCGAACGCCCGTTAAAACATCCATTATGCACCACGTGATGCTCTTGTATAAAACTTCTTAGCGCATAGCCATGTTGCCAAGTTAGAGATACACCGGATGTGTCATTTTACCCTAGTATATGTCATTTTGGGCCAGGTTCCCTAGTACTTTGAAATTTGTATAAACTTCTTTCATGTTTGTTGCATAGATACTGAAGGGTATTTATTACAATGGTAAAGTACAAAAGCTTTTAATCTAATTCTTCTTCTTCCTCTTTATAAGCAATTCTGCTTGTTTATTGGCGTGGTGTTTATTAATACCTCTATGGAAGGTTGAAATGTGGACATTTAGAAGATTGCTAAGGATTCCATGGGTAGATAGAGTCAGAAGTGTTAAAGAGAATAGGCAGAGAGAAGGAAATGGAAAATACAATAAAAGAAAGGAAATTGCAATATCTCGGACATGTAATGAGAGGCGAAAGATTCAACATCTTGAGACTCATAATTAAAGGAAAAATAGAGGGTAGGAGAAGCGTAGGAAGAAGACGAGTTTCCTGGTTGAAGAACCTGAGTGAGTGGTTTTGGTTGCAGCTAAAGGCAATTGTTCAGAGCAGCTGCCTCGAAGGTCAGAATGGCCATAATGATTTCCAACCTAAAGAAGAAGAAGAAGATGGAAGGTTGTCACTCCATCTTTTGCGCGGTCGTCCAATACTTCTGCCGATTGGTGACTTCTTCTTCTTCTTGATGTGCCTGTCGGTTACGAATGTTGGCGATCATCATGGCAATCTTTATCTTATCTGCAGCAGCACGTAAAAGCTGCACATATGTTGTATTAAACCAGATTCTAAGGTTCTTTAATCAAAATGTTCTTCTTATCCTGGATCGTGTTTTCCAAATATTTTTCCTTGCAGGATGACTTGAAGGAGACATATCTGGATTAATTTCGCATAATATGTCCGAAGAATTGTAACTTTCGAGATTTGATGGGGTCAGTACCTCTCGGTTCTTATTTATTCTTCTGAGGACCTCCTCATTTGTGACTCGGTCAGTCCACGGATCTTAAGTATTCTCCGATATAGCCACATCTCAAATGCTTTTAGTTTTCTGCACATTATCTTCGTTCAAGGACCCCGATTCATACGACTCAACTTTTTTATATTGTTATTATCCAGAGTTATATTCTTAGTTATATCTAGAGATTTAATTTGAGTCTCTTACCATTCCCTAACACGTGTTTCTGAGAGAGTTTGTAATAAGACTCCAACCAAACCAAAACGCACAGACTACTCTGGCAAT